CACTTTTACTCTGAAGCATACACACACACACTGGAAACAATTCAATATTCCTGGCCCTATACACATTGACATGCTGTGACCTGTTGGCCTCTTGCTGCCTCACTCACTTAGCAGCTTTCTCTGCCAAAAGAACCATGAATCCTCTATGATAAACCCGCCACCCGCCCAAAGAACACATGCAGACATAAAAAACACACACCTCACTACATTGCTGGAACACCCTCAGTCCCAAAATAGTTTGTCTGAAGAAAAGAGGAGAAAAAGAAAAAGGGGCAAAGGCAGAGATAAGCTGCAGCTTGAAATTCAGATCTCTAAGGTAGATACCAGTCTTCTCGTCCTGGCAAGCTCCTTCACGTCTAGAACAAAAACACACTCTCACATACAACAGTAATCAACTGATTCCAGCTTTCTCTTTCTATATTATGCAAAAACTACGTTTTCCTATTGAAATAAATCACTTTTGGTTTTAAATTGACACAAAAAAAATCTATTGAACCCTGTGTGAATCATTTTTCTGTTTTGTATGAGTTTATCTCAGCCTGACTTCTTCTCAAGTATGAAACTATTTCACAGTTAACCTTAAGGTCAAGCCTAGTGGCAATCACAATGTTCCTTTAAGCTGTAAAAGCTAATAGTGGGCTTTAAAGTGTCACTTCCAATAACTTCCCAATTACTCCGAAGAGAGTCAATAACTGGCTTTATTGGGGTGATGACAGAGCAAGGACCACCTGTGCAGGAGGGAAACAGCAGTGCGTTTTGAGAGGCCTGTCCCTGCACGCTCAGCAGATATGACGAACACCTGAAACCTCCTGACCTCTGGATGGCTGGACACTAGAGCTTAGATGCAGCCACAGGGCGCAGATTCTGTCAGCTCCCTCCTGGTCAAACTCATGCAGGCCCATCAGGAATGCACACAACACTTGCGTTCTGCAGCTTACATGGAATTTACTGACACTGAGCTGAACCAAAACAGTCCATCTCTGTGAAGCATAGGGTTACAAAGGGGCGGAAAGTTGGAAACTTTCATGGGAATTAATGGAAATTATGGGAATTAATGGGAAATTATGGGAATTAATGGGAATTTAGGAGAATCAACTGGAAAAGTTGGGTAATTCATACAATATTTAAATGTATTTTCTTTGTATTCGTACTACGTTGGTCGTTTTAATGTCGATTTTAAATGCTCTTACACACTTGTTTACATTGCTGCTTTAGTCCGGTCACCAATTATGCATTGCACGGTGTTGCTGTGCGTGCAATACAATGTAAAGTTTTGTTTCCGAGCTGGTTTGCTAAATAGGATAATGTAGCTAACAATAACACTGGCCTGCCACTGCCCCTGGTGGCGCCAGAGCCACAGCACTTGTTGAAATTGAAATAGGCGAAAATGGCAAAACATTATTGAAATGTAAGACTTGCAATAACGGAACTACTTGAAATGTTAGTGTTTCTGTAGAAAAACATGTTATTATTTCACATTGAGCTTGTTTAGATGAGCCACAAGCAATAACAACACAGCTGCTGCACTGGTGGCGTCCATGTTCTTTCCGACTCGTAATGCCCAAAGACAAATGGAACGCTCTAAGTGGTACAAGCCAGGCAATTACGTCACGTTCTCGCGTCAGAGCAACTCGGGCGGGGGATTTACGAGACAAATGGATAGCACCATAAGTAGTAGCCCAAACCATTGACCTTTAAGTTAAAATATGATGGTAGCTAGCATGCTGCCTTTGATTTACTATGGTTATGGTTATGGTTATATGCGTACAATACAATTAACCCAAATAGGTTAATAACAATGGGTTTTCAACTACATGTAAGTTCCCTGTTATAGACAGTATTATAACAAGCAATATTAAAAATATCCAGTTTATTCCCATTAATTCCCGTTTATTCCCGTTAATTCCCATATATTCCCGTTAATTCCCCATGGAAAGTTTCCAACTTGGTAAATTCCGGGAATTTTGCAATCCTGGTGAAGCATCCCCCATGTGCATGTCAGAACAGCCTCATTAAAAAACACTGCCTTATGGCAGGAGTACAACAATGTTAGACAAGCCCGGTGTTGAGTAAGAGTCTGATCAGGTAACCTGAGTCAAAGCCTCAATTAACATCCTCAATATCCCAGCATTCCACAGAAAGATTCAAGTTAATCCAAATGCCACACTATACAAACTTTATGGTATTACTTTAAATGTGAAGTAAATACTAAAAACACATGGAGAAACTTTGAAAACCCTCAGACTATTGTGGAATCCCTCTTCAGCTGATAACATAATGAGGATGGGATGCTTCAGGCTGAAATTCCACAGTTACAGTAGTGAATGAGCCCCTTCACAGACAACAATGCCGGCGGGTCAACCGTCTGAGGGAATCTGATGATGGCATTTTTAAGGGAAAATTAGGTTAGTCAGAGATAAGCGAGTTTGGCTGAAAGAAGGGCCTGATTCATTTTCACTAAGTGATGGCATTCACTGCCGATTGCACACAGATGAGTCAAGGGCAGGCCTCTGCTGATAACTGACATGGTGGTTGCCAGGGCAGAGACAGGCAGGATGCAGTCACACAGCCGGGAATATGTAAGTAATCTAACAGTTAATAAACGCTACCAGTCAGCATGGGTCAAATGTTACATTGTACTGTATCGTTCAATATTATACTCTCATTTCAGTGCACATAGTGTATTGAACAATTTGTGTTGTTTAACAGGTGTGTTTTTGTCACCACATCTGGTTGTGCTTGATAAGACTGTACTGTTTTGTGCTGCAGAAAAACTACACCTACTGGGTCAGGAAAATTAGTTTTTATCTACCTTTACAATGTTGAAAATAAAAAAATGGCTACGTATCAACCTATCAAATCGCACCAGGACTTTTGCAGTAGTTACATCCACATCAAAAAGGTGAACTCTTTTTACTTTACCATATAATATTTCAGTCACAAGACTAACTGACTCTCAAAATCCTCTCAGCTGTGTCCAGCTTGAGGCTCCGTGACTCAGTCTCAGTGTTGTAATCTAGTAAGAAGGGGGATAAGAGGAGGTTAGGGCACGCAATTGTGTGGGAAAGCAAGTGGTGTGCTCAGTGTGTGTCTTAGGAGGAGAACTGAGAGAGAGCATTTCCACCGTTGTGCTGACCGATGCTGGGTTGCAAGCCACTTCCTACACACAAAACAAAGCTGCTAAGAAGTGTGAAGAGTGAACAGCTAATAGCATACCTGCAGGGGTTAAAAATGGCACAGCAATGAAAACTGTTGTGTTGTCTTCCAGGCTACCTCTGTAGGCTTCAACTGCCAATGAGGCTGAGACCTGTCAGTCTGCCTAGACGGGTTCAGCCTCTCTTGTGTTTGCTGCAGGTCAGCATAATCACTCATTCACACATCAGCACTGACGCTCCATTCCCTTAGACATAGTCATGTGAGATGACGACATGAAACTATATGAAACTATATTTTGTCACACTCTTCACTAAATATCATAGTCACAGCAGAGCAGGTGCCACAGTAAACCTGAGCTATCATTTCAGATAATTCTCCAAATATTTAAGTACTTTTACTCAAGTAATGACATTTCACTAGTGTTCCCATTTTGTCAGACATATACTAACATTTGAGAGAGACATATTGTTCCTTATCCTCCCCTACATTTATCTGACAGCTTCAGTCACTATATTCTTTTGCAGATTGACGTACGCACACATGAAAACATAGAATTTTCTCAGAAAATATGGTGCATTTCTATAGATTGAAACATATGGACCAGTTCTAGAAAGCACCACATGGACAAACAATAGCACGTCACTAAATTCATGGGCTAATAATTCCTGTTTTTGATGGATTTGGTCTTGCTACATTAATGTAACTACAGGATTGAGATTAACAAATCTCATTATTACGGTAATGTCTTAACTATGAGAGAATGTGTAATTGTGATCACATTAAGTCTCAGCTATCCTGCCTAACATAATGATCTTTGCTGCTCTATATTGAATCAAAACACAATTTTACCAAATCTTATCACACTATATAATATGTGTCCATATGATGGATAAATGCTGATTATGGTTAATGTGACAATATGTATCATCTATATATTGTTCATTTATCAAGTGAAATTACAAGACATTTGTAAACTTTCCTTTGGGTTTTGTGACTTCTGGTTGCACAAAATATGCAAAAAGTCATCATATTGTGATAGTTAATAGTCTTTAGTGTCAACATTGTACACTAGGGAATAAAATGTAAAAAGAAAAAGATTGATGGTTTACTTCTTACTACTTTCTTTATGGTTCTGTGATGTGTCTTATTCTCCTTGGAATTACTGCTGGTTAATGTTATTGAATTATTAGCCTGTGCAACCTTCCAGCTGAGCACTGTTAATTACCTGCGGCTGACATTCAGCCGTCCCGCAGTGAGAGTGGCTAAAGCGCTCAGTGAACAGAGGTAATTTTCACCACGAGGACACAAGCACGGGGGTTATGTTTTTTATCCCAATTCCCACGTTCTTCTGCCGGGAACTTTAGGGGTTACCATGGGAACAGATGAATTCCCGGGACAACTCCGCTCCTGCCAGCTGAGCTCCCACCTCCCTCCCTCCCTCGCTCCCTCGCTCCAGCCCCCCACGTGCACCGAGGGGAACGAGCTGTTTTTCTGCCCGTTTGAACAGTTTCCATTTGACTTCTGGAAAAATGCTTTGCAGCTTCGTTAACTTTAACAAATCCCAATCCAATGTTGTTGTTTTTCCCAGCCTCATTTCACCTCCTCATAACCTCTTTAAAAAAGTGTATCTGAGAAGCTGATGTTTACATATGCGTGCAAGCAAAACACTACTTGACAGACGTGTGTGTGTGTGTGTGTGTGTGTGTGTGTGTGGGTCCTTTAAAAAATATTACAAGTTTATTATAGTAAATTCAAAGTTAGGTTTAATGTTTAAGTGGTGCATTTAAATTGAAATTATGATTAAAACGGATGAATTTAAGATAAGTAAACAGACCCATTCTTACCGACACAAAGACATATTAAATCCAAACCGACGAGCATCTTCCTCTTGGTGCAAAACGAGCTCTCCTCCTCAGCCGGGGAGACGAAATGTTTCCCAGCGCCGTTCTCCTTCCCTTCCCCGGTTCCTCCGCTGTCAGCTAACCGCAGCTGGAGCTCCGCGTCCCGGGGCAGCGTGGTGTTGCAGTGGGTGCCGGTGGAATTGAACATGTTTTTTAGCTAAATTCGTTAATGACAACTTGTTTATATAGCCTATATATATATAAAAAAATTAAAGTAGCTGCAATGAGTGCGTTTTGTCGCAGCTAGCTCGTGAATGATGGAAATTCCCAAACTTTTTCAGTCCGTCCGTCGTGGGCGCAACAAATCCATGTCAACGAAAGTTTGACAGCAGGGGACCCCGGTCAGCCAACACAACCGATGAGTTGACGTAAACGTTACACACGTTTCTCAATTTAAAAAGCAAAATGGCAGAGAGAAAAATAGAAAAGGTCGGAGCTAATTGGGAAAAAAGGGAGGGAACACAGCCGTCCGGACAAACTTCAACTCAACTTTAAACCAACTTCGGAGTGGGAGCTTGTTGTACTCTGCTCCCAAAAAAAACGTCCCGAACAGAACACCATTCACATGTGTCAAACATAAATGAAAAACAGACCTCTTTGCTTCAAAATTTCAAAATAAAATGCCCTCTCGGTGAGTGTTAGTCTCGCAGTTGGTCGAGCAACAGCGAAACGTTAATTTTGGTATGAAAACTCGTAATTTCCGGTGATATTCGGTTTGACTTGACCTCCGCGGTAATAAAAAAAGAAAAAAAAAACACCCAACAAAATCAATGTGTAACGACGAGGCTGGAGCTCACAACATGTTCGATCCACCTGACCTGACAGCTGTGTAGTGACTGCTCGCTTTCACTGCGCACTCTCTTGTCCCATTAAAAAATGTCCCACCCATGCAAGGACACGTCCCACATACAGCTCCTGCAGCCCCCTCTCTCCACAATAATAACGCAGGTTTAAAGGGGATTTTTGTTTTCGTTTGCAGCATTAGAACAGAAACAACATTTACTATTTTACTTATAATAATGCAACAATTAATGCCTCCTCTGTGGGGATTTCAGCTGCCCAGAAAAAGTCATCAATTATCCTTTATTAAGACAGTATAATCATATCCATTGCACCATATGTGCCCTTAAACGTGTAAGACAGCCTCGCAGTTTGATTTTTCCACAATATCGACTGCTGCTGTTTGACTGTCCGCCAATGGATAGATAAAACACACATACTACAGACAGGCAACACACAGTCTGAGCACATCATATAGCCTACTCTTTTGTCTTAGAGTCTTATGAGAAGTTTATGGAAGATTAAAAAATGCACATTGCCACGCATTTTGTTTATTAAATCAATCAGTTAGCTGCATAATGCAATTTGATTCCTCAGTGATGAACTCCTGGTTGTTCCTGTGTAGTCAGAGTTTTCCTGCCACCTGGTGTGAAGACGAAGACACAGCTGCTTCATCTCTTCAAGGTTTCTCAGCATTTTGAGGACCATTGAGGCTTTGTTTGTTTGTTTTTTTGTTGCGCATACGTATAATTAGGCAACTAATTATTATTTTCATTGTCGATTAATCTGAAGAGTATTGTTCAATTAAAATAAAAACACCCTGGATAATTTCTCAGAGCCAAAGTTGACATGTTTATAAGATCTAGCCTAAGTATTTATCAAAATAAATGAATATAAAACAGCAAATATTCATATTTGAGAAAATGGAACAAGGAATTCTTTGAATTTTTGCTTGAATCAGTTATCACAATAGTTGCTAATTATTTTAATTAATTAATTGTCTTATCATTCCCATTTTATATTTTCAAAGAGTTACATTTAAAGCTGTTTTTTGTGTAAATTACACTCATATTTATTGGCGCCTATGCTTCTTGATTTTACTCAAAATGCAAAATAGATAGTTATTTCAGCCACTATGACAATGATTGAGCCATTATTGTATGAATAAAATGAAATCGAAAACTGCAGATGCACAGGAAAATATGAAATACTTTTTTTTCTCTTTCAGTTTTCCATTTTCTCATCTGCTTCTTTCAGTTTCATTTTATGTCAGTCAGTCTGTCATTGATTAATTTACAGTTAATCTAATTTCCATCCAATCTAATCTGACATCATTTTCCAAAACTATAAAGTCCATTCTTTCCTTGAAAAACCTGTACTGTAATTGCTCATGCTTATGTGCAAGCAAATACACACCAAACTGGTCAAAATCTACATTTAAACAAATGTTTACACCAGCTAGTAAGCCTTCACTGACAAATGGTTGTCTTCAAATATCTGGTGTTTTGGTACTTTTTGATTTTGGTGTGCAACTGATAAAACGTTTATTGATGTTTATACAAACCCCAAATAAGAAAAAGAAAGATGAAAAAGGAAAATGAGGAGGGGGAGGGAAAAGTAAAAGACAGGGCACTTTTATATATTGCAGGTCATTTTCTGTTTACTTTTCATATTGATGTTTTCATTTTCCATTCTCCGCTGCAGTTTTTAGACACTGAAGATACATTGGAACAAATGTCATTTCTAATAGACAGATAGGATGACATATTAATATCATCTATTTATATTTATTATTATATATTACTACCATTGACGTATTGTTATTTATTACTATTACATTTTTTCATGTACTTATAAGCACATTTGTAAACTCCAGCAGTGTTCTTACTAGTGGCTTGTCTTTGAATCCCTCACTGCATCCACTAGATGGCTGTACATCATCATTTAGTGGCCAGACAATCAGAGGAAGTAAACATACTATAATGTGTAGTAGTGGATCTAAAATGGCTGGAGTCACAATGATTCCTCCTCTACTGATTTGATATCACTTTGTAATGTGTTTTAAAGGACGTCAATGTAAGGACTTTATCATATGGTGTAGTAATACTTTGAATATCACCACCAATGTTGTGCTTTGTTTGTTACATGTATTGCAGTCACTGTCAGTCTATGACAATCTATATGTTAGTGTCATCGCCCTCAGATGATTCTGATCTAATTTTCCATCCGTCTTTGAAATGACGTGCAACTGTTTCTTCTATTAATGTAGCAAATTACCACTAGTATCCTTCTTTGCCCACTCCAATAATGTTGTGTCGTAGGTCATTTTTAACGAGTTATAACATTGGGTTGTCTCTTAAATGAAACTATGACTCATCCAGGGTCATAGTATTTAGTTCAGCTTTTGTTTGGAAAGTGTTACATCCCCTAAAAATGCAGAACTAAGATACAAACATTTCTGAAACGATTTTTATTTTCCTCTATTGTATTTGTCATCACAGACTTGCACATGACTAAATACTGCTGACTCTCACAAACACAATTGTACTTCTGCTTTCCAATCCAATTGAAATGATATGTTCTGTCTTAACTAGGATACTACTGAGTACTGTAGTATACATACATTTATTCAGCCACTGCATTTCTGGGCAGGTTGTTTGTTACTGGGTACTTGACCACTGCCAGTCATAAAGGTAACCTTCAACAGGTATCATTTTGTCTTTGAGTCCTCTATTCAGTGTGATGACGCATACCTGAACCAAAGCCCATCCTGTTTTGCTGCCATGAAACTTTCCCCAGGCAAAGTACAAACGGAGAAAGTGAAACCACATTTACTGACCTCAAGCAGAAATTTAGATGCAGGTGGGAAGTTTCAAGAAGTGCAAAAAATAAACAACATATCATGACATTTTGTCACTTGAGTTCCACTACTAATTTGACTGTGGCATTTTGTTTGTTGCATTTGCTCTATTTTCTTGTTATGTCAGATGAGAGATAAGATAATGATAATGTTTAAGTGCTGGTTGTAAGATTTAATCTAAATACTTTGTTAACAACATGTTCTTTGTTGAGCAGTTAAAGAAGTACAATTTTGTAATGTATGTATTCCAATGGGGATAAACATAGTTTTTGAAAGGGATCAGCTTTTACACAGTAAGGATGTGTTACACCATAAGTAATATTCTCGTGTGATGCAATAAGGTCTGAAATGTTGATGCCCATAAACTTTTTGCTTATTTTTGTATATTTTGTATTAATTCTATCTCTATTGTTTCTGGTCTTTTAAGCCAGCAAAGACCTAACATTTCAGGATTAAAGCTTCCATCATGCAATGGTGAATTAATAAATTGACTTTTCTGATCAACCCTTATCCTGCTCCAGAGTAGTTTTAAGTATGTTGAGTCAATATACTTAAAGAAAGAAGGATAAGAACATTGTTGAGAAATTGTATTCTACCATGTTTAATATAAAGACATAATATATGGAGGAAGAAGGGGGGGAAATGGGAGCATAAATAGCAGTCCTAATTCACCACCGCCACCCAAACCCTCTTCATAGTCTCATCATAAATAAGCAACTTAGTGATTCATTTTGGAATTAATTCATGTCAAAGTTCTTAACTCCTTCCTTTTCTCCCTGGTAGTGAGTCTTGTTCCTCATTTTTTTGTAAATTGTGGTGAGTAGGAGGAAAGGGCCAGCCCCAAGATGCAGATACAATCTGGCCCTCCTGTGTCTGTCTTCACTAGTATAAAGGGGAAAGTACCATCTGGATTCGTCTTTGTTCTATAGATACTCAGGGCACAGCAGAACACCGTCAGACATCAAAACGTCCTCATCACATGCACACACTGAGCTCAGGAAGCGAACACACACATTGCTTTGGTGAACAGCAGAGGAAACTCACAAACTGTAGAGTCGTCAGCCTTCAACATCTGTCTGCCTACACTCCCCAGGCTCAGGCCACTCTGAGCTCTGCCGTCGGACTGACGATGCCACAGCCTACCCAGAATTCTCTAATCCATGTCCTCCTGCTGTGGACCACCACCCTCTCCATTATCCAGGCTGTGTTCATCATCCTTTTCTTCACAACTGGACATCGTGGACTGGTGAGACTTCTTAAAATATCCTCAGATTGAATTTACAGATTGCTACAATATCCCATGATCATTAATGATGAGATCCAAATTTGTAAACTTGTACAAAAGTTTTGCTTTACCCCGTGACATTTGAATGAATAGGATGAATGTTTTGAATTTGTTACACATACACCTGTGTAGCGCATCTGTTCTTTCTTGTGGTTTTGGCAGTAGCACAGCTGGTGAGATAGACACCCCTGCCTGTGGTCTGCAGCTGGTTACAGATACCCCAGTAATGACTTCCAAACAGCGGAAGTTTTTGCATTATAGATAAAAAAACTGATCAGATAGAAATGTCTCAATCTATACCGCAGAGATAATAAAACTATAATGGAGCATAACTGCTATAATGCTATAATAAAATATAAGTCTAGCTCTATGATTGACTAGCTACTATCACGTGTTAAATATTTTACAGGAGAATTATTTTAATAGACAATGCGTTGTTTTTAAAAAATTTAATTCAGCAATGCCATTAAGTGAACTTGAATGGCGTTATCGCACCAACAACATTCATTCACCGGCACTTTTGTGTTTCAAAACCATCTTGTAACATTTATTATGAGCATATTTTGTGCTTCTGTTTCCTTCTCCAGTCTCAGAACAATAGCGCTGTAGCACCAGAGCGCACAGTGCAATCCCAGGCAAACAATACAGCTTCGGTAAGATAACCACAGCTTCAGAGCTTGTGCTTCTCCTGTTGACTTCACTGTGTTGTGTTATATATTCTCACAATATGAACACACATGTTCTTGTTGATTAAGATGTCATGCTTTTGTTGTCAGTTTTTGCAATCAAAATATTCCAGTCAGAGAAATCTTGCAGACCAGGCAGATTTAGCTCAAATTATTTTTCTTCTCAGTGACTTATGTCAGACAGTCACTCTCTTCACGTCTTGGAGGAAGCACTGTGACGTCATTGCCAAATTCGGGGAAATGCCACTAAACTAAACTGTCTCTTCATTTTCCTTCTGAAGATACTGAATGATCTATTCTGTTCTCACTTTTAAGACTGAGGTACTGGTCTCATCACCACGTTTAAAAATAGCAACATCAATGTATCTGGTCTGTGTGTCATCATGGGAACCATGCAGGAACCACATATAATGTAGACTTTTTTTCTATGTTTCGAGTTTAATAAATGTCTTCCTCTTCCTCAGCTGCCTCCCTCAGACCATGGGCTTCTCTTGGGAGAAGGTACAATGCTCACCTATAAGGCAATTGAAGGTAAAGTTGTTCTATTTTTTGTATTCCCTTATTCAGTGTGAATGACAAAGTCTGTAAAAATGTAAAAATTCACAAGCTGTTGGAAGTACAGATAATGTCCTGGTCAGAGGAAATGTTTAATTCCAGCCAATACAATTTCACTGAATCATTGAGTCACATGTGCTCCATGTGAAATTAAACAAGATATTCAGAATAAACTTCTAAGAAAACAAATTCACAGCTAATAGCAGCTTTTCTGTCACCCACAGCCAAAGGCGGAATGAAATGGTCAGCAATGAATCCAAATAACGACTTGGTCTCAGTAGACGGAAAAGATCTGAAAATAAATAGGGATGGATATTACTTCCTAAATCTTCAGGTGACACTGAAGAAGGAATCGAAGGAATGTGAAGAGCAATCGGATCACAATGTCAGTCTGAAATGGAACAACAAAGTTGTCCTGATGGGTGGGATTAACAAAAACACATGCACCACAGGCCTCCTTGGAAAGGTAGAGGAGCTGTCTGCTGGGGGCACCCTGGTATTCAACATCAGCCTGCCAACCACTGAAATTGATGACATTGAACATCTTACCCACCTGGATATCATCTACATGCTCAAGCCTTAGATGCATCTCTGATACATTATATATATATATATTTTTTTTTTTAATCCCTGGCATGTTCCAGGACACTTATCCAGTTCTGGGACCCATTCTGCAGCAAACAAGCTCAGATGCAAAGATGGTAGAGTGTACTTGTTGCTCTCTTGTTACCAAACAGATCTCTGTAATTGCCTTGGGATCACCAGATCAGCAAATCACTTAACTGTCTTCCTGCAGTCAAAGTGGTGACTGAGTCACAGAGAATGGATGAAGGGGTTGGATTCAACATTGAAGACCCACAGGCTGGGTAAAAACCTCACTGTTAAATTCTGGTCAACTAAAAAGAAAAATCCACCCTGAAACAGATTTTATTTTGATTCAATGTCCAATTACATTGGCCAGTAAAGTAAATATACTATATAGCAGCTCAGGATTGGTCTAAGGTTGATGTCATCACTACAAGTGTGTTCCTCTGCTGTTGTGCTCAAGAGAAGACTTTAAATTCACACTTTAAAACTCTTCTTTATAGAACTATATGGAAATAACAGTTTAACAGTGTAATGTAGGTTTGGGGGAATATTCCCTTGTGTATTGTATAGATAAAAAAAAAAAAAAAGTTGGATTGTTCTCAAATAGCTATGATCAAGGAGCACACTTTTAGTCAGTGAACCAGGTATTCAGAGTAAACCACTCCTTAAATTGTATTTCCTTGTTGGAGTTTCTTAGATTTAAAATGTGTAGTAGTTAACAGCAAGAATGTATTATTCTGAAGTGCCACACCTGTTGGCAGAACTGTGCTCTGTTTTTGCACAGCTCCTATTTGCTACTTGATTTATTTCTTGTTTTGAACTATATGAATTACATATTTATGTTGTATTTATTTATTGTTTGGGCCTAGAATATATACAGTATATTTAGCTAAATTGCATAGACAGCGAAAAACCAATGAATGTATGTCACTGTGTGACAATGTATGTCCTTGTGTATATGCATTTGTCTACTGTTAGTGAGTCACTGGAATGTTTTTACAGTTTTCTTTATTAATAATTGCAATAATATGTAATGACTTGGTTGATAAATGTTAAAAGGGAGAAAAAAGATAAAAGAACAAAAATATAGATATGATTTATTTGTTTAGACACAGAATTTTCGTGTTTTTAACATCTAAAGAATGACCACTATTACATACAAATTAGTATTCTATTTTTATAATCTAAATTTAAAATGAAAAGTGAAATGACTTGATAGAACAAACCTCCAAATCTCCTTCACTACTTGTATCACACATTATGACACATGAAATCACAACTCAAGGTGGTTGATGCAGAAAGTTTCATGTGTTGTTAAGAGATATTGAAAGAAATATTTGGTTTTGTCAATGATTTTCAGTTGTTTTTAATGCTTGTACTCCTGATGATGTGTGTACATTAGTGTGATTATGCATTCAAAAAAGCATTGCATTTGTTCCGGGGACCTTTAAACATGTTTCTTTACATCCAACGACATCAACATAACTGCTGCCTTGAAATAATGTAACAATGTTATGATTAAAAGCTATAATTTTTTCATAATGTTTATTATATTTGACGTATTTAAACCCCCAATATGGAGCTAAGACGAACAAATGAAATTACACTGATGATTTTCTGCATTTTACTGTGAGTCACTTTCAAGACCCTGGATATAGAGTGAAAGTGAGAGGTCATAAATTAGCAGTGGGACCCCGCAGATAGTGAGTCACTTAATAGAAAGATACAGGGGGACCCTCCCTGCCATATGCTGTCGAAGAATATGCCTGCCAGACTCTGACAAAGCAAAATAAAAAATCTGCACCTTACACAAACATCCATCATCATGTCTACTGACCTGCATTACAACAATAGAGAGAGAAAACACAAAAGGTCACTGGAACATGATATTAGTCATCACAGCCGAGATACACATTTTCCAGGTTACCAGGTTTCATCTGAAAACAGTTCTTTTCCAAACCTGCAGAGTGCCATATCTTTTACCACTCACTGTATTAGCTGTTGCCACCACAACTTTCGGTTACACTTAAGGGAGGTCCGAGATGTTAAATTCAAATGCAGATAGCAGACACCACCCACTCTGTCTTATATATTAGACACGTCTGCATGGGTTGGTTTGTTCCTACCATTGCTTTCCACTGCCCAATTAAGACAGGCGTACAAAAGTTGTGTATCCACATAGAGAAGTATGGCAGCTTCTGTGAGAACCCTCATCACCCAAATGTCACTGTGCATTATTGGATACGTTTTCAGTGTTCAGTCACTGAATGACGCGCTCTGCTGTTATTTTCCAGAAACTGCAAGTACCTGCCACTTAATAATCAACTGATTATATAATAATGACATCCCAAAATTCAAGATATGAGAGATGATTTTTGGTAAACAGCAACATTATTCTTGATTAAAAATGACATTACAGTCAAATATGTGTAAGGAAATGGCATGAACTTCCTGAGTGAAAGATTTTTTCAGTAAATCAGAAGCAAAGTGGACCCTCTGAATGCACAGCTTTACAGATAACCGAAATGTAGCACTCACCTGCTACTCTACCTCATCTAGAGACCAACACCAGAGGACAGCATTTAGCTATGGACTGCTTTCTGTGTACCATGACCACCCCTTTCAGTTTTGCTTCGCTCTAGGCACCACAGGTTGCTTCACTGTAAAAGAATGCTTCTACGTGACAAACTAGCGGTAGTTTATTTCCAAAGTGGCGTGTAAAAATTGTCGACAGAGGTTAAACACACCTTGACATTAATATCTGACAACAAAGTATCGCTTTATAAATGGAAAATGTTTGTTTCATATATAGAAGTGTGAATACTGTTGAGATTATAGCCAATTATAGAGTACTCTCATCCCACACAGATTCTCTGTAAAAGTCATGGCTAGACCAAAGTTTAATGACGAGAGAAAAACCAGCATCACGAATCCCAACCACACAGCTGTTACTTTCCCCCTCCTTTGCTACTATAGTCTCTCACACCTCACAGGTCAGCCAGCGATGGAAGATAATGACTCACACATGCACGGAGAGAGGAATTCATGAAAACACAAGGAGACTGTGTAAAACGTCTGAGCCAAGGCCACCCATGATTTGACAGATAATATGTTTAGTTATGCATTCAGACTCTATATCACCAAACCCTGAACTGTAATTAGTTTCAACTCAGCGCGTTCAACTGATTTGAACAAAACTTGTAGTACGAGCCTGAGGGAAAATGAATTTGAGGTGCACTTAACCTACACACCCACCTGTACTCATATACATGCACACATACACACACAGTCCTGCTACAGTAGACCTTCACCAGCCGCTGCTCTCCAGATCTGGGGTTGGAAAGTGAGTCAGGCAATCTGCTGACACCCCCACCCTCCCTCCCAGCGGCCCCCACCACCACTTCCTCTTCAGTTTACAAATATACAACTCTGTGGGTGTATTCAAGAGCGGCTTCTTCGAACAGACACATCTGAAGGGAAAGCGTAAGAAAAAAAAAAAGGCTCCATAGAGTGATGAAGCTTGTTGTTTGTACATGCATGTCGCCATGCCTGTCGCCATGGTGATGAATTGAAAAAGATTATCTATAGCTTTACAGTAAATGGGTACACTGATTCGAATGTGTGGAATACTGCCCGATACATCTATTGTCCCTCCCAACCCTTAAGAAAAGTACATTTGTCACATAAGTCGAATTGCTGTACTGTAAAACCAGTGTTTAACAATTAACACTTTCTGTTTAAAGGTGGTTAACATACTTACACTTAAATAATATGTGTCACTGTGGTTTTAAAAAACGCTACCCGTCAACAGAGAGTTGTGTGGTTTGAGTGAGTGGGTGAAAACTGCTACTGAGACCACTCAGCAAAGGCTCCAGAGCCGCTTCACCAGGAAGTGCATACAGTAGCTTGCTTCAGCTACATGATGGCCTGAGTAAAGGCGTGATAACACCACCAAACAAGACTTTAAAATCATCATCTGTTTATTTAATTGTTTCATACATGTTATTGTACATAAATACAGTAGTATTAAAACAGTTACATCATTCATTTTTACCACTAGAGGAATAAATAAATAATGTGGTGTATGTGTCACACAAGAGTGAAAAGAAATACGTAAGGTGACAACATCTATTTTTTATTTTATTTTAGCATGAACATATAAACGCATATAAATGTATACTTAGCAATAATATGAAGCTAAGGGAGACTGAACAATGTATCAAAGATTTGTTTTAATCCATCTATGACGAGTCATTTTGTAACAAGTATATATATTGTATAAAAGTAAGTATACAAGTAAGCATATAAAAAGTCCCCGATGTGAAAAAGAGTTTTGTCACTCAATATAATTTTAAAAAATGAAGCGTTTCACCCCCGAAAGAGAAAGCCATGTGCCCTGACCTTCAGGGTGGTTTTCACACCTGCCTCGCTTTCGGCTTACTGACCTGCTTTTGCATTACAAAGAATCTCTAATCCTTGAGAAGATTTTCCATCCGCTTCTATTTACTCTTACTGCTTTCAGATTATTGTGAAATAATCAATGTGACATTTATATCATATATGCACCAAATATGTTTTCATAGGATTTGTGTCGCTCAATTTTTGAGGTATCGCTCACTTTCACAAAAATGGCATCACTTTCTTGGAGGTGAAACACTCCACCCAGGTAACTGTTGGATCGTTTACTGCTGGACCCCCCTGAGTATTTTCTGGACAGCAGGAGGGTAATACTTTTCCCAGAGTACAGTGTTGTATTCAGTTCAATAGAATGGTGAAATATATTGGAGTCTCTAAAGGAAACCTTGGAATAGACATAGTAAAAACCCTCCTTCTGAATGACAAGACATTTGTCTTTGTAGTCCATCTTATAGAGGAGAGGTTCTGCATCCATGCTCCATGCCATGATTTCCTTTCCATGAGCTATATGATGTCCATCTGGGAAAAAAAAACAAAAAAAAACAGCAACAATGTGAAGTCTGATTCTTTTAAAAACAGGGGGATTAAAATGATAAATACATTATATCATAGAGGTATTTTTGCTCGAACCACACGATTACCCATGCCACACTTTAATAACTGTGCCTTCATTTTACTGGCAATAGCAATGGCAATAACAATATATACGGTCTATTTTCTGCCTTTGTAATACATTGAACTCTGCAGTAATACAAGGGACATCAACACTGGTCTCACCTGTCAGATGTGCAACTGGTTTGGAAGGAGTGACAAGACTGGGCCTTTTAGTTGGAGCAGCAACATCTTCACCTGCGTGAGGACCAGACATAATGTAACTGATGTGGATTGCGAAACTGAAAATATGAATCAACTGAGTGAAAAGTGATGATACACACCTGCAATGAACTTGGAGGGTGTTGCTGAGGAGCCCTGCAATGGATATAAAAATGGTTTACCTGTCAGTAGCATGTATATATATGTTTGTGTTTCCGTTCGTGAGTGCGCGCATTCAAATGTGCAACAGATTTACCATTGCATTGGATATGCAACCAAGTTGTGAAAATAAGATACACAAAATGCTTTTGCTTAATGTAATCTGAATTGTGCTTAAGGAAAAAGTACAAAGTAGCTCAGGTCTGTCTTTCTGGTAATGAGCAAAAGGTAGATCATGATCATGCCACAGGAAATAGACCACTTCCGTTCCTCCACCGTCCCTTGTTTGTATGCACCCTTGATTGTCAGACAGTGTTAGAATAAAAAGTCCCCCTCCCCCTCCCCCTACCCAAACCTGTGATTGCTGTCCTCAAACTGAGCATCAAATGAGGACAGGAAACTGAGTCACAGTGATGCAGGGAAAACAGTGACCATTCACCATTGTGGAACATGCTTGCTTTTGACCCCCGGGGACGTCAATAAAGTTCCCAGAAAATGGGCCGGACTTTAATGTACTTCTCCATCTCTACTCCACTCTCTTCCCCATAATAGTAAAATTATTTCACCGTCAGCAATTTTTGGAGAAAAACAATCATTCACATTACTGGAGTAAATGTCAGCTTTGTTCAATCACGAGGGTCCTTTGGTTTACTGATGCCTTTGCTTTGCTTCACTAAACGGGTATGACAGCACACGTAGCATGTAACTCTGTGAAATGCATATATCAAAAACTTATGTAAGAAATATTGTAATTGTCCTTGCGTTTATACCTTGTACTGTATATTTAATAATTAAAACACACAATATTTAAATTTTACAGTTCTAAAGTAACTTTCTGAAAACCAACAAACAAATGCTGCTGCTTTTATAATATTTATTTGGATCTCTAATTCTATATTTTGCTCTCTTTGTTTATTGTTTATTATTTTTTTATTATTAAAAGCCCATGTATGTGCCTCTAATCTTCCTGGGGTCTTGTAATCTGTCTATTTTACCTTTATAGTACCAATACATATTCAGTTCACTTCAAATAATTACATTACAGTTTTGCATGTAGTATAGTCGTATAAATACATAGAACTCAGGTGTTGTAAAATAACGCATAAACAAATAAAATCAATATGTTGCCGCAAACCAGAAGAGTTCCCATTGTGAAAACTTGTGTTGAATTAGTATTCAAAAGAAACTTAAAAATGTTACCAACAACATACACAACACAAGAGCTTTGGGTTGAGAGTGACAGAAAAGGAGAAAACTGTTAGAAATAAGAAAAGAAAATGAAAGTGAGAATAAAGTGTTGAAGCTGAATGAGATCTTCTGATGAAAGTGAGAATCAAAAGAACATTTTATGAAACAAAAAAAGCAGAGTGACTCTCAGTTGGTGAGAAATCACAGGATGAAATTGCAAAATGTACTTTAGGTGCAGACCCAGAGATGGGGTTGATACTCACAGATTCATGTTGGTGGAGACGGTAGATGAAGCAGGCTTCTATCACCATGCCGCACAGTGCCACACTCACTAGCAGAAACAGTAGGGTCTGTGCCACCCCAGCACGTCGTGGCCTCTCGCTCAGCCTCGGCGGCAATGCAGGCCGGGTGACATGGCTGTCCACCACATACACAGATGGATATCCACTCTCGTCCATACCTACAGTGTTCTCACTGAAAAACTAATTCAGTGTGAAAAAATGTCCTCCACAAGTTGTCGGAGAGTACTGCTTCAACAGGGTCACGGAGACAGAGGCTTGAAAGACACAGAGGTGTGGAAAAAGTAAGAAAATGGGTGGGCTCACATGTGGTTGGTTCAAGTGGAGATGGCTCACACGTAGTCAGATAAAGAATAGACCTTCATACAGAAATCTTGAGATGTATCACCAAGGTGTCTTAAGGCTCTCACAACTGTCTGCACTCAGTAACTGCAAACTTTCAAAATTATGCAGTGTATAGTGGATTTTTTCCCATACAGTAACGAAGCCTAAAGGTAGAAGGCAACATCCATACTTGAGAGACCAAGCAGAATGCATTTTAACCCTCCCACCCTACCGTCCTCCCACTTCACTGTAATAGCAATGTTGAAATATCTCCATTCACACTTCCTCTCTTGCATGCATTGCACTCATTCTCTGTGTGGTTTGACTTATGGGCTGAAAGACTATTAACCACAATGGAGTTTAAGATTAAACTTTTTACATCCTTACCTTTGTGCTTTGTCGCAGGGGACAGAGCAGAGTTGCGAGGCATAAACTGAAAATAAAATTAATGACATCACCAGACTCAGCCGGTGTAGGGTGAGGTGAAGTGGAACGTTGTGACTGCTATATGTTTGCTAATTAATTAAGGAAGCGTTTTAGGCTGAAAATGCTATACATTGTGGCGGCTATTTGTTAAATAAAGCATACAAAGTATGAACTTCTACAGTTTTTCTGTAAAGTTTTATTCAAGTCATCCATGAATAGACTCAACTCAACCCTCACACACTCTCATATGTTAAAGCTCGAAAGAATGAAGATTCGAAGAGGCAGTATGATTTTATCCCCGTTGGAGCGTCACTCTAACACAAATACACATTCCTGAGTTCTGGGGCAGTAAACAGACTGATAGTGTGGTGCAATGATCATGTCCTTGGCTTCTTAGTGAAACCCCCAAAAACTTTAATGTATGGCCTTTATTGATACAATTGTCCCTTTAGTTGACAGGAGAGCTTCCACACGTGGGTGATGTATGTGTCTTAAATAAAGATCGAATGCATTCCAGATTTCTTCATTAATACTTAGTATAGCTCTTAAAGTGTATGTTATTTTATCCACTGCCATACAATGTGCTATATTTTTAACCTGACATCAATATTTGGCTTATGACCTGTTTCTGTCCCACCTTCCTGTTAGTGACATCACCTATGGGTCCATCAACTGCACCATGCTCCCTTTGCAATGTACATCATGCTCTATCGGGCAGTAGGTCACATCTACTTATAAATACACACGCATTAGTACACAGACACATGCACATAAGTTTCCACTCTGAGGTTTCAATAGAAGCAGATAAAAGCCAATTATAGATTATGTTAAACCTTTAGCAATGCATTTGTTTGTGATTATTTTATTTTTTAATACGTTTCTGCCTGTTGTTGCTGTGCACCTGTCTGTCTGTTTGTCTCTCTCTCTGTCTCTGTCTGTCTGTGTCTCTCTCTCTCTCTCTCTCACCCCAACTGGTCGAGAGAGACGACCACCCACCTAGAGCCGAAGGATGTGTCCTAGGTTTCTGCCTTTTAACAGGCAGTTTTTCCTTGCCCTTGTCGCCAAGTGCTTGCTCATGGTGGAACTGTTGGGTCTCTGTAAATAATGTTATAAGGAGTTCGGTCTAGACCTGCTCTATTTGAAAAGTGTCCTGATATAACTTCTGTTATGAATTGGCGCTATACAAATAGAATAGAATTGAATTGAATTGAATTGAATTGCCTTTCCAGTGATTTATTTTGTGCAAAATAAATGAATATCTGTATTTGCAAACATTTAAATAAGTGTTTATTTTAAATATACTGCTGGGATTTCCTCAAAGCTCATAAATGTATGACAGCCATATCAAATATGCCCAATTTGAATGAAATGTTGCCCCAAATTCGAGTAAAACAATATTATGTATATTCATTCTGCATTTCTTTACGCCATACCACATCATGTTAAGTGCAACAGGGTCGATGTGTTGTTTTTTCTTGAGCTCAGCCAAGTTCAACAGAGATGCTGACAATTCGTTTTTTTGTAAGTTAAGTTTCAAGGAAGGAGGAGGAAGTCCAAGTCAAGTTTTAAGGTCCTGTGTGAATATAATATGCATAACTATATTTCCATTAGTGTATAATAACCTGAATACAGGAATCATTATGTTTTTGTTACCTTTGAATGAGCCTTTTTTATTTACAGACGCCACAGGTCACCTTCCATGTTGAAGCACCATGTTTCAACAATAGCCCACAACAAACAAACCAAACACTGGCTCTAGATTCTTTGCACGATTCTCGGCCACCATAGTTTCTCCTTTGTGCCTGGAAGGGGAAAGTAAAGTGAAGGAATCGCAATCTGCCACTACACCGCGAAATGAAACTACACACCGGATCTTTAAGCCTCTTATGGTTGTAATGAGTCGTCTATCAACTGCTGCATGTGATCAGGTCTGCTTAGTGCACTTCACAACTATCGAAAAAAGTAAAAGCATGTAGCCTACTGTATTATCGTCACTTCTCAAATCAAGCAATCTGATTGGTTAGCTATGGTATAATAACTGTATATAACAGCTATGATGTGTAACTCCTTTACATAATTCAGTATCACTCCACTTGAGAGAGAAAGAAGTGTATATCTCTGGGGGGAGATTCACCTGCTGAACATAAAAGACAACATGCAACCTCTGGACATAAACACAGTGAACTGAACATGGTTAGACAATCAAAATGGGCCTTCAAATGCTTTTGGTTAGACAATCCAAAAGCAAGTCTAAATAGAGACCAGATTCTCAGAGTGGAAACAACAATTGAGTTACATGAAGATTGGGTTGGCCAAAAGCAAAGCCAAAAGTGAAGTGAAGTGAAGTAGAAAGAGTGGATGTGGCTTCCAGTACATATCAACTTAATGTCGGTTACCAAATCCAGAGAGTAATTTTGTGAATATTGGCTAATAAGCGGCAGTTCAACACAAAATCAAAAATACATACAGTCTCTAGTAATGTAAACAAGACACAAACACATTCCTGGCACACAGCTGTGAGCAGTTTCACGGAGGAACTATTTTCTTTAGACCAAACTGCTCCAACCATAGTAATTCTTGTTTTTTTCTGCACGGTGATACATAGAAAATAGTTCCTCCATGAAACTGCATAAAACAAAGTGTCAGTGAATTATTCTGAGTAGCTGGGTCATGATTTCTGGAAAGAGAAGTTGCTGTTGAGTTTTTCAAATGTATGTTTTGGCCGCACCACAAGCCCAGTGCCATCTGCTTCCATTATATTTGAGGGAGGCTTGACACCTGTACAGCCAACGGCCACTCACTCACTCACACATTCTAGATGAATAAGTCTCACTGCAGGTAAGAGCAAACATTTATTTTTTATTGATTTGGATTCTGTCCTTTTAAAGGCCTCCTATCTGACAGATAGAGTCTGTGTGTATTTCAGAATACAAATCAACCTGCTCTCTCAAATACTAAGAAATTTAAATGTTTTTTAAAAAAATTGCGAAGCTTCCATTTATAGGAAACACACCGTTTTGACTCTTCATACAATATGGAAACCATTGCATGATCAGAGATGACTACTATTATTAATGGCAATCATCACTTTTTGAAAGAATTTAAGCAGGGACTAAGACATAGTTTATTCTAGAGTATCTTTTATGGACATTAGAATATCAGAATAGCAAACTATTCAATCATGTTATATATTTCTAATCTGTACTTGTACATCATATGCTTTAAAAAAAAATAATAATATGATAACGTAATTCTAAACATATCATACCCTAACAAAGGATTATATCATGAAGCTCTTGTAATGTTAACAAGACCTGATAATTACAGTGTATACTATGTCAGTCCATCTTCTCCTAATTTTATTATTAGATTCTTTTGGTTTTAGTGCACCTTCATATTATGTGCTACACTCCTCTATTTCCAACAACAAAAAATATAATAATACAATTTAAAAAACACTCATATTCCACCCCCTAACTTGAAGACAACATTGGCCCATGTGCCTTATTTGTAAGTATATTAATGTATGAAGTGAATTGATGATCCAGTAAGTATTACTAATCAGTGACTCGATCATTTGTTAGTGACAAACAGGAATTCAGTATCAATTCTACATTAATTATTGCATTAAATCACCTTGAGTCATGGATTACTCATCCATTAAGCATGTGTATTGTGCCCTAACAAGTTTTATTTATGTTGCTCACTTACCCATAATACATCCATGATATCAAGGCTGTGTGGCCTGCTTTTTGTCTGCCTTTTAACCATAGCTCCCCCTACAGAATAAAAGAGGACATGACAGCATAACAGTTAGAATTAATGATAAAAGAACATTTTGCCAACAAGTACAAATCAGAACAAAAAGTGTGAGGACTGATTGAAAAAAAAAAAACAACTTTTATATAATTCCCAAATGTACCTTCACTAACCATGCAGGCCTCCATACTCCAGGCACCATCAGGTATGGGCATATTGCACTTTGTCACAGTTTTGCATGTTGGCTGCAGTCCAGACTGTAGGGTGACACAGACAGAGCCTCCACTCATTCAGCTTAGATCAGGGAACTCTCTTACTGTTAGGCTACTTTCCAACCGTTGGAGTATGAAAATAAGCAACTCTAGATATTAAAACTGCTTTTTTTCCCCCTGCACATGTAACACAGTTGCTTCCAGTTGGTGAAAGTGGAATACATGGACTATGCACTGCGAGCGAAGGATGATGAATGTGGAGGTTTGTTTGCTGGCATGTTTGATTCTGACTGTTGGCTTGACTTTGGGTGTGGGGCCTAACCAAAACAGGGAATTTACATTTCTGTTACCTGCTGGCACCACAGAGTGTTTTTACCAAACCACCGTGAGGAACGACAGTATGGAAGTTGAATACCAGGTAAATGTAATATTCTCTCTATCTGTTTCTCTTTCATGTGTCTGTCTGGCGTAGTGACAGTGTAATATTGTGTTTATTTTGAATAGCTTTTTTATATTTTGTGAATAATATGTGACTGAAAAACAAGTGAACAGGCTTTGGACTTTGGTCTTGCAAGTAGAGAGATAAGAAAACCACTGCTGTTGTTGTTGAAGACACCTGTCCTAAGATAGAGCAAAGAAGGAGAAAAACTTAAACTTGTACCTCAAATAATGCCCCCTTAAAACACATTGCAAAAGTACTTAACATGCATCCTATACAAGCACAAACGTGCCTTTACATGATCATATTGTAAATACATCCAAAAATTATATATATAAATTGAATGCCAAATATATTTTTCCAATTTTGAACTTTTTCAAACATACCACTAAACACACAAATCAATAAATTAAAAGGTAGACCTCCTATAATGTGTTGTTAACCTTTATGATTTTATGGCCATGGAATATGGGTTTTTCAATGGCTACACACCATATTTAATATAAATAAGCATATGCATTGGCTGATTATCTCAAAATACAATACACAATTAAAAAACAATTAATTGACCTTCCATCACACCACATTCATCATAATATTACTGCTGCATGGTCTGGCATCTGAAAGTTGGTGTAAGGTCACAGTCTAAGCTGCTCCCTGTTCGTCTCTGTGCTTCCTGAGAGTGCAGGTTTGTCACTGGAACTGTTGACACATGGTGCCCAAATCTTAACTCAACTGGCAGTCACAACTACGCCTACAATGGCCTGTATTGTCGGTTTTATGATGCAGAACTGTACTCTCTGACTCTGAAAAAAAAAGGCAGAAGATTATGCATACATTGACAGACTGTTAGTCATTTTTCAAAAATGAGAGTGGTAGCTTGATGTGATGAAACAAAACCTTGGGAGGCCGGGGACTGAGAGACTGAGACTGTGTCTGACACTGATAGAGTGGGCAGTAGGGTAGCGAAATAGAGAATTTCCCAAACTGTTTAAATATTATCACTGTGGCTTATTATGTGAGTTATGTTGTTGCTCAGTGTTCTATCAAGGCTTCAATTTGCATTTCAGACGGATAGTCTGATTGAAGCTTGAGCTGTGAGCTTCATGTTTGGAGTGAAAATGTGAAAATAACAGTGGAAAATTGAATGAGTTCTGGCTAACTGTGAGCCTGTATATATCCTGTATTACTGGCCTCAATCCCTTCTGTTTCTTGTACAGGTCATAGCTGGGTCAGGACTGGATGTTGGCTTTGCCCTCATCTCACCCAGTGGATACCGACTTATATCTGACTTCAGGAGATCTGATGGCATTCACATGTGGGTCACCTAAATTCTTTCCAATAACAACCTGCTTTAGCTTTGATGCTCAGTCCCTGTATTACTTTTCATTTGTAATGAACCCAATTAACCACAAGCAAGCATCAAGGCAGCAGTCAGTAGTTAATTCCGCAAAATACATAAAAGCACATTTCATTTTGTTGTGTCATTACAGTGAAAGATTTCAACCATGATATTGTTTGGAGTAAAATGTCAGCTTTCTCCAAACTTTCCTGACCTTAACCCTTTTCTTTTATACCTGCAGGGTGGATCCCACAGAGGATGGAGACTACAGGTTGTGTTTTGACAACAGTTTCAGTAAGCTGTCAGAGAAGATGGTGTTCTTTGAGGTGATCATCCATAGTCAGAGCAGTGGAGGTGGAGGCCGAGATGATCAATGGGCGGATGCGGCCATGCCAGAGAGCATAGTGGAATACAAACTGAAGGACATCTTGGTGAGAGGGGAAAAACAAAACCCATCACTTGAATTATCAATATTTTTTATTAATTTTTTTATGTCTACACATCTCAGTACTGACTTTCATCTCCTCCTGTCTGTCTATCTCTTTCTTCCTCTTCCAGGTGAGGATGGACACTGTGTATTGGCACCTGGAGAGGAGCCGTCAGGTCCTGACTGTGCTGCGGGCCTTTGAGGCCAGGGACCGCTACCTTCTGGAGGACAACCTGTGGCGGGTGTCCTTCTGGTCCTGCCTCAACCTGCTTGTCATGCTCACTGTCGCTGCCACTCAAATCTACACCCTGCGAGGCCTCTTTGATAACACCAAGCAGGTCTGCACATAGCCACAACAAAACTGTTCCATTAATTTCCAATCAAGAGTGCACAGCCTACTTGAAAGTTTGACCCAAAATCCTTAACCAATAGGTGTGCTGAATTTAGAAGTATAGTTTACATTTTTGTGAAACTGATTCATCAAGCACTAGGGACTTTTTTTTTATTGTAGCCAAAAAGTTATTGCTTTGATGTTCCGTGACTTTGTGAATTCCAGACACATCAACCTGAAAATCACATTTACAGTACTGTACTATGCACATACACACAGATACATACTGTATATACATAACATATCACAAAATACCCACACATAAAATACTTGGAGCACTGATATTTGTAAATAATATCATTAGGGAAGTTAGAAACCACAGCTGTTCTCACTGGAATGTTGTTTTATTGAATTTCAGATACCACATCGACATTCATGAACCTAAGCTATGTTTTATCAAACCCATAGCCAAAACAAACCAAGATAATATCAGAAACCTCGCCTCCTGAGTATGCACTGTAAAAAAAAAAAAAAAAAAATTTACTAAGCCTCAAGCTGTTCAAAAAAACCCCACATCTTTAGTCTTTCCTGTGATAAAAAGACATGTATTCACACAGTCATACTGGTTATCTCCCTGATCAGTTTCTCCATCTGGAGGTTATAAATAGTCAGAAAACAGTGAAGTCTTTTGGCTGAAACGTTCACTTCCTTTCCAGTCACTTGTTTCATGCAGTTGTGATGAGTAGTAAAAACATACACAACGCAGCAGGGAAAACCAATTGTGCATTTAAATCACTACCACTATATCTTCTCACAGTATGTTGAAACATCCTGTGACTGTTCAGCTTCCTAAGCCATCATTAACATTATATTCAGTTGTCATGTGCCACCACTTAAAATTTATTTTTCTTTGTTATCACAGAATAGAAATAAAAAAAACATTTAAATGTTGAACTGCCTTTTTTTTTTAACTTGGCACTGTATTTAGGAATTCATCCTTTAGAGTTGATTCATACTGTATTAAAAATGTAGAGTCTTCTGGGCAATTGTGTGGAATAAACTACAAGAAAGAAAATATCTGGATTACATTTATATCTTAAATTAGATTTTACACAATTACAACTTGGGTCTGACAACATTCACTATAAAGAACTTTAGTTTAATGACTCAATAAATTATAACAGCTTCTATGTTTGACTGATAGTCTGAGATTACTTAAGGCCTTGATTGAACTGGAAAATAAGATGTGTAGTTCTTCTGTAGTCCTGCTGTCATGGATTGAAGGCATTTTATGGCCACTTCAGGCTGGTCAAGGTCACCACTGGTTTCGACGGGGAGCCGGGCGCCTGTTCAGGGAGAATCAACCACCATTAATCTCTTAACCTTGTGACATGTACTTTGACAGGTAATAATTACAGGATCCAGTCACCGGATCATCATTAGAGAGATCATCCTCCACTCTCATTGGATGATACGATGAGACACGTAAACCTGGATTTATTCATTAATGCTGCAGCTGAAAGAGAATAAGATTAAAAGGAGTTTTGAACATCTTTAGCAAATAGATGTTTTAAAAGAGCTATCTATATTGTGCCTATAAAAATATGTCCACCCCCTTAGAAGTTATGTTTTATTCTTGCAACATTGAATTAAAGTAGATGTTTTCACATTGACATTCAATCAGTATCAGAAACGTAACATTGAATCTACTTTGACTCGATGCTGTAAGAGAAAGTATTAAAACTTTTACGGGTGGTGAATCATTGTTATAGGCAGTGTAAATGTTGATTTAATCAATTCATGCACTATAGCAGGAACAAAAGGCTGCTATGACAAGGTGTTAATTTTATTATTCACCACTTCACATTTGGTGAAAATGCATGGTCTGAAAAAAAAAAAAAGAACAGTGACCATTGTTTGAGCTATCCCTCCCTAAAGCAGACAGCCTGCCAGTAGAGGGTTGCCATAGGAACATTTGTAGGCTTATGTCAGTCTGTATTGGTTTTGGATGTAGAGAGGGGGGTGAGTGAAGAGAGGACACCCAGGAGGGGGGCTACATTGTCTAAGAGAGAAGAAAAAAGTGGATCACACAGGACACAAGGAGACACCAACCACCAGAGCCAGTCCCTTTTATTGTACACAACACCTCTTTATTTACTCTCCATTCTAAAATCAGTTCACGTTTATTCAAATCAATTAATTGCTACAGAGGCACTTGACAAGGGTTTGCAAAACAAAAAGAAAAGAGATTTTTGCAGGTTGGTTTCCAACCCCTTCCACCAGATTCAGAAAGGGGATGGAAAGAGGAAGCAGGGTACATCCATTAGGCAAAAAGGCAGTATTGCCACAACCTAATGTATAACAGGGTATTTACAGTCTGGGCTTCTCAAGGGCAGGCGGAAGTGACAGGCACGAGGGAATTTCAACAAATGTTTGCACAATAAGAAGTTGTGGTCATTTTTGTGTAGCAGGGGTTTAAGATTTGCTGTTTATAAGCATATTTTACACCTTCTGGCACTGTCACTGAAAGCCAGACCTGTAGGGACATTACAGAGGAAGGAAAAGCACACACTGTCTCAAGAGTCTGTGGTTTTTTTTTTTTACAGTTTATCTGTCTTTTCAGGTTGGCAAATCAAGTTTCTATGCTCAGTTTTTGAAAATAGTCTAGACAGTTTCTCTAGACAGAGTGTGCTTTGATAGACCACAGTTCCCACCACCTGATCACCACCACTACTGATCAAACCAAAAACAGAAAACATCCTAGTAGCGCAATGTCAGTCCGATTATCCCCCTGAAGGCCTAAACATGTTCAAGAAAAGTTGGTTTTAAAAGGTCAAATACCCTCACAGACCAATCAAAATTTCATTATCAAATAATCACAGATGTGCAGACAATGTCCTGCCCCAAGTGCCCTCCCAACATACAACACATTTAAAAAAGCTAATCCCTGTAGCAGAACCCCAAATAACAGTCCAAGAGAAGCTGGGGAGCTGAGATGTACAGAGCTGATACAATTGCAACCAAAAACATCAAATGAAATGACAAATGCCCAGGTTATAAATAATGCACCAGGAGATAACCAATCTCTTTTTCCCCACATCCAAGGCTAATCTATGACATGACAGTGTTAGTGCTTCCTTTAATATGAATACTACAGTTGCATTTTAACATGTTGGGCTTTGATTAAAATCAATTGCTTGTGTTTGTCACCAACCCTGCGATTAAATGAGATACAAGTGCTAACTCCCCAAGTATAGGCCAGCTATATACAATTATATTTTTAATGCATGGAAGCAGAACTAATAGCAATAATAAATGTCCTTAACAACTGAGCCCAAAAAGAGATGTGCCAACTCCTAAATGCTTAATACCATCTTTATACTCTAAATCACAGATACTACACACCCCACTGCTTCACTGAGTTCCATCCTCTTTGAGAGGAAACTGTACTGTGTGCTCTGCTCTATATGAATCAGCTAATCCAGGAATGAACAAAGTCTACCCGAAGGCTGAAAGTCTCATTGGGGTTCAGCTGAGACTAAAGGGATTAAAATTCAGGGCTTTAACCACTCAGAATTTGTGGAGAGAAACCATCCTACGAAGTGCAGACAGCCTTCATTCTGTCTCTCTCTCCTGGGTTTTTGGTGCATAGTGTTCTGGGAACGGACTACAACATCCCCTTTATGAGCGGCTTGTTGTAAGGCTAGATGGTTAGAAGTGCTTGGATAATAATGGTCAATCTGGCTGTCAGCTACTCTCTCAGTCTCATTCAACCGTGCCCTGTGTCTTTATGCTTTGTTTTCTGTGATTAGAATTTCATTTTTAAAGCTACATTTATGACACTCATTAAAAGGGACAAAGTCACTCAAATATAATAACACAAGAAAAAAAAATGTAATCAACATCGCCAAAATAATAACAGTGATAATAAGCTATTGTTTTTTTTCCGTATGAAATCAGTTAGAAAATGAAAACCCAGTTAAACATTGACAACAGGTTAAGTGTGTATATTACATAGAGATTGAGAATTGGGCTCTGGGCCAATCTAAAAAGGTTCAGGGAGGGGAGAGTAAAGCCAGCCTGTAAGAGTTAATAAGTTATTTAATAAGCTTCTGCCGGGAACCTTGTCATAGGAAATAAACCAGTTATTACAATAAAAAAAAAGCTATTGAACTGAATTTGATACATCATCTCCTACTGATAGAAGTTAAATGCATCCTACAGATCAGCTGGGTTTTATTTTGTATTACAGAATTACCACAGCAGTCAAATGTAATATTCAAGTGGTTAAGGGCTTTCTCTCGTTCATGTGCACTGATAAAGACGGTATTAGCAGCTTATTACATTGCTTGAAGAGACCTTTTAATACGGCTGGACGATGTACATTATGCACCGCTATCAGTCGACCCCTCCCCTCGAGCCCCGGCCCTGGCCCTGGCCTTTTGTGTGCAGATACACACACCCACACACAAACACACACACTTAGGTGGGCTTGGCCACAGGTCTAGTCTAGCAGGGAGGGCTCAGCAGGGCGGATAATGGTAGGCCGGTGAGAAGGAGCGCCAGGGGGTCTTCGGCTGCAACGAGGAGAGAAGATACAGAACAAGGAGTGAGACATGCTCAGAGAGAGGAGAAACCAAAAACCTCCCGACAGTGGGTAAGAGGGAGGGTGAGGACAGAGGGAGAGTGAGAAAGAAAAAATATAAGAGCGAGAGGATAATGAAAGTCAAGAAATACTATTAAATATAGAGATGGGATGACTGGTGAGGGTGGGAAATGGAAAAAGATGCCTGTGACTTTTGAAAAACAAAGGATGATGAGATTTTAGCAATTAAACATTAGAATTTACATTAAAAAATTGCACAACATACACACAATTGGTAAATCACATCATAAGAGAAAGTCGTACCTGGGTACACCGGGTGGGACGCGGGCTGGCCTAGAGGGGATCTGTGGGGGTGCACTGAAGGGATCCAGGTTGCTGTTGTAGGCATTGATGGGTGGGCCTGGGCGAGATGGGATTGGTGGTGCACCAAAGGCGGGCGAGGGGTTGAGCGGAAAGGCAGGGGATGGGTTCATGGGTGGTCCTGGTGTTGGGCCCCGAACGGCAGGTGGACGGCTGGGAGGTGGGGCTGCTGAAGGAGGCGGCCTACGCTGAGGGGTTGGGCTGAGAGGAGGATATGATTAAATTAAACGTCATAATAAGCACCTAAAACATTTAATTTACTCTCCTGTAGAGGTGGAGCTGAGTTGTTCATTGCACTATTATGTGTAATTGCACCTCTTTTCAAATTCAGCCAGCCAAGCAAAATGCTACAAGGCAAAGGATTCGTCTTTTTCTCTACGTTTCTAATCTCACATATTTAAAACATGAAAGTAAAGCTCAACTAAATGCTAGTTATCACTTATCACCTGGCTTCTTGGATCCAGCCGTCATTAACAGGCGGGGGTACTGGGGTGGAGACTGTGTTGACGCTGATGTCACCAATAATGTGCAGTGCCTCCTTGAGCGCATGATACATGCGTAACATTTCGTCTCTACGCTGGGCCTGGTCAGCCGACTCCTCCATGAGGCTGTTCTGGTCCCCAGAAGAGTAGAGGTAGGCCAGCAGCTCCGAGTGGATGAAATCCTTTGCCTGAATGGAGGTTAAGATTATTCAAACACAGATGGTGAGAAATTTTAGACGAGCTGCAGCAGAGGCCAGAAGTGCGCGTGTGTGTGTTTGGGTGTGTGTATTTCTAAAAAAGTGAGCTCACTAGAATAATAAAACCTAATAAAGGGACAGTGGACAAGTCACTGTGAGCGTGCGTCATAAATTTTGTTAATTAGTGTCTTCAAGTTTATGAACCTGTGTTTACAAAAAAATACGACCACTGTTGCTACTAAAAATTAACAAGAAAACATTGCACAGCTCTATGGTGCAATGATACTTAGACCTAATTAAATAGCAGTTTATTTGATCTCAACTCAGATCACAAGTTTATCAGGTACCTTGATTACTTTTATGAAGAACATAGTAATGACACTACAGTCTGTAAAAAAAGTACTTTTTTAGTATGAAGGATGGGCAGAATTACAAATTACTACTGCCAGCATTCATCATAGCACACTGCACTGTACAAATTAGTGGTTATAGCTCTATTATTTTTAGTAAGTGAAATACAGTGCACAGTGTTAAAGTCATTTCAGATAATTTCTTTCATTTTAAGTCTGTTTTCAAAGCTGCAGACACTCAACAATGGCTCCTTTCTGCTGATGACTGTTGGGACATACATTGTTGATCATGAGATGCATGATGGTCTTGGGCATCAGGTCTCTGATGGATTTGTTGACGATGCCAATGTACGAATCCACCAGGTTGCGGATGGTTTCCACCTGCCGCTCCAACTGAGGGTCCATAGAGAATGTGTCTGCAGGGGCAGCATCTTCATTCTCGGTCTAACAATAACAACACGCACACAAACAAAAAAGTATAAATCTATCTTAAATACATCTTCATAGTTACCTTCTGTAGAAGAAGCAATTATGACAATTGTCCTAAAAGCGTGAAAAGAGAAATACAGGTTCATGACCAATTTGATATTAACAAATTCATGTTTTTTATAGAAACCGAAAGCACTGTTACATGCACCCAACCACCCACGTACCTGGTCCTTCTCCGGATAAACTCCTGCCCTGAGGAAGGATGCTTTCCAGCTGTCCACATCCTCTTGAGAATCACAGGCCAGTTCTATTTGGCGAAGATCCTTGTACACGTTCCTGTACAGATAAACAAAAGAACGCACATGCTTGTGAGTCTGTAGACTTACCCAGTACAAAAGGATATGCATGCACACAAAACAACACAAAGATAAGGTACGTGTGTGTGCATTCACACGTATCTTAACTGAGCAACATAACCCTGACCTCTGTTCGGTGTTGAAGATTGCAAAGATGTGCTTTGTGGACATAAAGCCTTTCTCCACATCTCTGAGTTTCAGGTTATCCAGTGGCAGCATATATTTCTTTTCTTTCTCCTAGCATGAGACAGACAAAAAAAAATGTGTACAGCAGAACTGAAACCTGTAAAATAAAATGGAAAGAAGTTATAGCTTCATAAAGTGAGCCAGTGTATATATTCTGGTAATGGATATGAAAACAGAGGACAGCAGTGCTAACACTCCACCAATGAGCAGACATGATGGAATGCATTCCCTCACTGTGGACCACCACCAGGCTGGTGAGATGGAGAAACGCATGATGAGGGAGAGGAGGAGGAAGAGAGGAAGAAAAGGAGGAGCATGAGGGAGCTCTGGGGGGATGGGGTGCCAGCTTTGACTGTTGAGCAGAGACATCTGGAAGCATTTACGTCGGCACTAACACAGAGTGCGGCGCAGGCCCAACAGTTACATCACTCACAGTTCCACACAATCCCCCGCCCCCATTGCGCGCACGCGCACACACACGCACACGCACACACACACACACACACACACACACACACACACACACACACACACACACACACACACACACACACACACAGCTACCAACTTAACTGCACGTGCAACGACAAACAAACATACATGAGCCTGAACAAAAACATATTATGGGATTTTGGTGTATAAACATGCACTCGTACAAACATGAGCCTAAACACTAAAAGATACATGAGGACTCATGTGGACAAGCGCTTACACACATGCACACTTGAACACACACAATCCCCCCCCTCGCTCCGGCCCCCCGTAACCCAGTACGATTTCCTGCAAATTCCAAAGTCAGATCCCGGCTGGAACATTTCAGCCCGCCTGCCACGTCAGTTTGCCTCCACCATCCTCCCTCTCTCATTCTCCTTCTTTTCATTTCTCTTTGGTTCTTCGCAAAAAGCGTCCGACATGAGAATGCCCCATTTCCAGTTGGTATTTGGACACACTAAGGCCAATGGACTCGAGTTCATCTTTAGCAGTGCTTTGTAGTAGTATCTTTTAGGGGTCTTTTTATTTTGCTGGCAGAGTGCATACGACAGAGGCCTTGGGAAGAAGATCAAGCGGTGAGTAAGGCAATCACAATGCTATTTATGCATCCCATCTATTTATGATCATGGTAGACAAATGTTCAATGTTGTTAAATCCATGTTTTGAATTAAATCTAACGTCAAATGATCAGTAAAACAAGATCATTTGATTTTAGAATTTGGATCACATCAGTTCACTGACATTTCCCTTGTAATGAATGTTACTCTCCCATTCCTTGAATACAACCTTTAAAAAGGTCTATAATATAAATAAACTGTAGAGCAGAGTTTGCCGAGTGTGCACATACTGTAGTTATTTAGTCAAGGCAATGCAGTCCAGGCATGTGTAGATTCATTTCCCAATCAGTTGAAGGCAATGCTGTAAAGGTTAGCTTTTCATATTATGCTCTATTTAAAATAATATATGTTCAATAAGATTGTGGAGTCCCAGCAGAATCGGATCGTATAAGCCTTTTCCATGTACGTGGCTTTTTTTCATATATGCAATTGTTTCACAGGGTAAATGTTTACTCTCTGTGCCCTCTGTCCTACTGTCCTAGGGTAGCGACCTGCAGCTGCAATGACCTCGGGGTCCTTCCTCCCATCAGAGTCCTCCTCACCCCCCCGCCTGCCCAGTGTTCAGACTACCTGTTCATCAGGCTACAGCTGAACAGTAGTCTGCACATTGGTTAGGCTGGGCTGGGACGCACACACCTCCAGCCACCGTGGGTGATGATACCAAATCTCTACTTGGGATAGCCATCAGAGCCAAATACAGCATCTTTGTCTTTAAGCATTCCTATGGGGCTGTGTCATCTTATATTAGCTAGCCATATCCCTGTGTCTCCAGTGAACAGCAGTGGGACAGAAGTCTCGCTCACCTCCTCATCTTTGTACCAGGACAGGGACTCTGCAGTCAGGACAAACCAGTACTCCTTGGAGCCGCCCTTCATGATGCTGATGTTGATGGTTAGCCAGCCTTTCCTGATCACCTGCATAGATGTGGGAGAGAGAAAAGGGTGGTAGGGAGAGAGGGGTACCAGGAGGATGGAGGAAAACAGCTTTGTCAAACAGGCTTATGCACTGGTGACATGAGAGCCCCTTGTGACTGACACTAAAAATAAAATCTTACCTGCTAGGTCACTGTAAATTTGGTTGTCTCTTATCTTTTTATCTTGATATTCAAAACTATTGTGTCTGTGAGTCTAATATAACTTAAATACACGCAACAACACAGAAGTACGGATTAAATGTGAGACTTATTTAGTAAAAAGTATGAAGTGACCAAAGGACAGTAATACATACTGTGTGTGATATGTCTGAATGTATACAAAAGCATCAAAAGGTTTAGTTGAAAATACTGGATAGGGATGTAGTCCTTGTTCTTTTTCACTCAACAGAAAATAAATCTTTAAACCAACAAACAAGACCAGATGGTGTCCAGACCATGCTAGCCCAGACAGAGTCAAAGACCAAAAGTCGACGGTGGTATGTTAGTGTCAGCGGGTCAGTAAAAGCTAGCCTACGCGCTTGTAGTAAAAAAAAAAAAAAAACTCAAACAAAAACAGGGTTAGTGGGGTTAACTGGACTCGGATATATGAATACCTGGTTAGGTAAAAGATGGAGAGAAGTGAGTGCAAAAGACGGGTAAAGGAGAATAAAATAAATGCGATGACAGAGATCAAATGCAGAGCCTAGGTAGCTGATTTAGTAGAGTTCACAGAGGGACAGACATCTAAACAGCAATGTGAAAATCTGAAGTGGAAAGATGGAGAGGGAGGAAATACAACAGACCGAGACGCTGAGCTGAGTGAATCACTCTGAGAAAAATGAGCCATGCATTTTGGAGGAGCTCTTTTAGCTATTTCTCTCCGGTTTTTTCACACAGACTCCCATGCAATTCAAATACAATGGGGGAAACTATCTGTGAAACTTGTGATCTTGTGCTAAGTAAAGTCTGCTTTAGACCGCTCTCCTGCACTCCCTCTCCACCCAGCAGAGGACTGGAATGAGTTATGGGGAAAAAAAAGGTTCATTAGTTGAAAAGCGCCAACACAAATATGGGAGAGGAGGCAATTACATAGGAGCTAAACTGGTAGTTTGCCTTGGCGAGGAAATAACTTAAACTTTTCAGAAACAAGGAAATCCCCTGTATTAAAGTCGGTTGGAAATGTTATAACCAAGTTGACATCAAGAAAGAGGAAACGATGAGTTGTGAAGGTGTCACCGATAAGATGCTTCTGTTTTTACATTATTAATACAACTGTCGAGAAATGTTCAAACCAATTCTGTAAATGTAATATGTAAAATATGATTACCAATAAACAGTTACATCTTAGATTAACTCCAATTCAAAGAAAGACAAATTTAATGATTAGAATTAAAAATCCAAATTTGAATTTGTAAGGATAATTAAGTTCTGAAAATAGAGATGTTAACAAGGAATTTTGATTTAACTGTTATACAAAATCCAGACCATTTTGATCAGCTTTGAATACAGAAATATAATTTAGGGGTTTGCGAGACTGGTGTTTTTTTTTTGTGAATTTGGATATGAACTGATTTTAGTAGTACTTAACATGCATTTAAAAAAAAAAAAAAAAAAAAGAAATCACTAGAAAATGGAAAAGAATGATTTAATCTCTCCCCACCCCGCTCCCCATTTTGTCCCCAGTGATGTTTAGGATGATTCTCACAAGGCAAACTTTTGAGTCACCATGCATGAGGCAGCAGCAGAGGTATAAACCTGAAGACTTGAGAACTAACGCTGTCCACGGTCAGTGGTGGAAGATTTCCCCGTTCTCTCTGTGGTCCGCATTGCGAAGTGCCACAGTTTCTTGTTTAAATTACTTTTGTGGAAAAAGGGTCAAATGTTAGTAGCAATCCAGATGTGTTCAGTTAAAGACAATTACTGTCTTATTAAAATGAAACCAAGAATTATGGGAGCAAACCTGCTGTGTATTAACTGCACAGACAGTTCCAAATTACTGGTAACTGTGTGCTAATGCTAAAATTGTAACTGATATCAGTTTGATCAGTTTGGAGACTCTACCTTCTCCTCGTGGACCTCTCCCAGGCCGCCAAGCTGCAGAGGGGTAGAACAACCCGTTACGGTGAAGGGCAGCGACTCCTGTATTTGCAGGAAACTCTTTATTCTGTTATCTCACAGCAGTTCGTCTTTTCCACCCTAATCATTTTGGCTGACCTGTGTGTGATGGCCTCAGTTCTCCTGCATGGCCTACCCCTGCTGCCCCCTGGCAGGGTGTGGTTTAAATCTGTGGGGTACTTACCAAAATCTCACCCTGCAGTAATAGGAAGGGGGGGGGAATTAAAGCAAAGGGGGTGCAGTGTAAAATCGTAGCAAAAAGAAATGAGAAAACAAGCAAGCAAAGATGAGGGACAGATGTAAGGCAGGAGGGGGGGGGGAGTGGACAGTTTAAAGGAGAGAAGATGAATCAAGGAATAAGTAAGAGGCAGTAGAGAATGAAAAGTCAAGAACAGGTTGAAAAAAAGAGGTTGAAATGGCCAGAATTACAGGTTTGAAGGGAGCAAATACAGGATGAAACAGAAAGCAAGAATCCATGAGACAACCAGAGAAAGACACAAAGTGAGGCAGGAGAGAGAGAAGGAGAGAGAGAGAGAGAGAGAGAGAGAGACAGACAGACAGAGACAGACAGAGCAAGAGAGTTACATGCAATTAGAATTACTTCAAGTATACCACAATTTGGTTATATCATATTTGTTGCTCAGTTGATAGGTGTGAGGTCCATGCGTATTCTGCATTTCAATACAAAAAGATGCTTGTGTGTTAATGGGAAGGCAACAAAACAACCAACATAATTCAGTAATTAATTGTTGCTTTGCGGTAGAACATGCCTGGGTCACATGCAAACAGCAATTAAAAATAGCCATGGAAACAAACGCTTGTTTCAGACAAGCAGGGAAGCAGGGTCTTATGTTCACTAAGGCAACTCTCCCCTCACTGAGACTGCCTCACTGAGACTGCAAGCTCATCAGCAGTATTATAATTGTGTTTCAGGATCTCACAAAGGCACATTAAAATTCAACCAACTTGGCTAAATATCAGTCTGAATAAAACAGAAAAGGAGAAGTACAAACTTTAAAGCACTTTAAAGGACAGAAACCAGCCAGTTCAATATGATAATCAGAAAAGACTGGGACTGGGTGGTCAAAATAACGTACAGGGGGCGGTATCGTTACTAGTTAGATAGGTAAAGATAGATGAATGGCTATGGGCTAAATCGCTGCTGGGGTGAAGTATATTCACATGGTTGATTAACTGACTGGTAATGGGAGGCATCAGCCAAGGAAGATTAAATCTGGGATTGGTGAAAAGGCCAGAGCTGAGTGATAAAACATACCTGGTTGGGTATGGCCCTCTTCTTGTTTGCAGCTGTGTTCCTCTGCTGGGCACTGTCATTGTACAAAGATGAACAGGAAAGACATGAGTATTGATGACACCACACACCAAACAATCATTGTCTTTTATGCAAATCAACTGTCTGGGTTTTAGAGCAAATCCAAGGTTTTGATGGTATTATGCAGATACATGAAGGTGGACAAAATGGAAAATGTCTCTCACACATTAATGTGCACACAACCCTACATCTTTTCTATTCGCCCACCTGTTGTTGCCGTACCCTGGGGTGCTACCATCATCCAGCCTTCTGTAGTCAAGACTGAAAGTGATGTCATGAGAACCGTTAAACAGTCCTAGCTGACCTCCGACACATTACAGCAATCCACTTACCATGCAGAGGCTAGGCATAAATCCTCACACTCGCACACACGGGGGGGCTTGCTTTGTTACTTGGTCAATGGCATCATGGGGGGGCTCCACTCAAATGCATGTTACTGTAACCACTAAACTAGGGACTACATGAATTAAACCACAAACTCTAAACTGCTTAGAGATATGCACCCCAAAAAATTCCAGCGAGTGCTTTGAAGTGTGCAAATGAGTTTCCAGTGCACAACAGCAGCTTCAAACGAATGCAGCAACACACTAACATTGCTCTGTCCATTGGCACAGCCAGCATTCTTCATAGTAACAGTCAAACAGCTTGCAGAGGAAGTATATCTGTCAAGTGATCAAGATGGGGAAATACTATTGTTGCATGCAAGGAGAGAGGTGAGCAACTAATGCGACTCTGATCATTATAGCATTCGCCCGCCCTACAGGAAGACACATGCTTTGATGTGGCAGGACCAGTAATTGGCATGCTATATCACACTGATGCACTGCAGCGTACAACATGTGGCTAATTATACGCGACACTATGATTCAGTAGCAGTGAAGTGCTGGTGATTCTGTAAAGTTTCTGAAACGGCAGCTGGCTTCCTGTGTATTGATGGGCGAAAGTAACAGGATTGCAGGTCTTTTTCCTTTGTAAATCTACGGACTCACAAGTGCACCTCAGACAACAGGCAACATATAGTTAATCAGGATCACAATGCCCGTGCCGAGAATGGGGTCACCAGCACACAAGCTGTAAGTTGGGCTGGGGGGGTACATACTTAGCAAAGCCAATGAAGTCCTCATGGTTGGTGTTGATGTAGGACAGCTCAATGTCAATCAGCAGCAGAACCTTAATTAAAAGGCAGAAAATCATGATTATAATGGAGGGGTCTCAATTAAACACCACTTACCAAAGAGACAAAGTAGAGAGTGCAGCGTCTCACAAAAACAACTTGAAAGAGATTACACCTAAAGATAAATGTACACATACCAAAAGTACTATAGTCTGTCATATTGATATTATCAATGCAAATTAGAGATGTGGTGAAGTTGAGAATAGGATTTTACAAGTTTCTGTTTAGAAACCATACAATTAAACCTGCCTCACTTCCTGCCTGAAAGAGCTGCTACCAAACTGAAAACTCTTAGTTTGTTACAGACTTAATGTTTCAAAAGCTCTTCTCCACCCTGAAAAGAGAACAAATTGCTCAATGACAGCAATAGTGTTTTATTTACATCTTGGGGGGGAAGAAATATGACTGCTCAAAATTACACAACGCAAAGGTCACAGAAGTCATTAATGCCGTTTCGTGGAATGTGTTAAAATCATTAAGTGATCCCAATAACTGCTCTTCTATCATGGCGCAGAATGGTGCTTAGCTGGGATATAACTATAACAAACAATGGCTGAATAAAACAGGAAGTTGCTAAATATGTTTGTTGCATCTGTGGTTGAACATTTTCTCTAGAAAAGGCAGATAAGAATCAAAACAAGTTGTTTTTCGTTTTAACGCATTTGATTATCACTCGGAAAAACATCTGCAGAACTGAGCTTGTTTGCAAAGTTTGCAAACGTTTACGAAGTTTTGAGGTCTGAGACTTTGGGTGATACATACAACAGAAATCAAAAAGCAAATACATATTAATCAATAAATTAAATCAATGATTCTTAGCTGCAAAAAACCTAATCTATTTTACATCTTATAATGAACAATGGGTGCTTGATCTGTGATATGTGCACCAAACCAGCTTGGTAAAGGGACTACATATGCTCTGCTGGCTAGCAAGCAATCCAACTAACCACGTAGCAATGTCTAGAGTAAAAAAAATATATATATATATTTTCTTTTTTTATATATTCAGGGTACTCTTCTTACTAACATATATAGGACAACAATTAATAACTCACAACTAAATCTCTTTAACAGGGAAAAACACCACAGCACACAACAATTTGTGACAATTTGTTTCTTGTGCAATAGAACAATTCAGAAATATTTATTTAAATTATTAAATACCTTGAATGATAGTTTATAGTGTTAATACAACCACTTTACATTCCGTTAAACAATGTTAAAGTAGTTGGCAGGTCTTTTTTATTACTACCTTGCAGTTTGCCCAAAGCAAACCATTTCATGCATTCTGATTCCTTCATATATTGTTTTATTTTATGGGGCCAAGAAAACCCTATAATGATCAAAGCTTTCAGTAATGTGATGACATTAAAATGTTTTTTTTTTATATTCATTGTACTCCTGACAGTAGAACCAGTAGAACAAGCCACTGTAAACCAATATAAAATGCTCAGACATGCAAAATTGTATGAAAAAGATCAACATCATTTTTTTTGTGGCATTGTTGCATTTAGTTACTGTTGTACTTTATTTTATGTTAGCTTTATCCTATTGTGCTTTGCACTTTGTTGCATTTAGTTACTTGTTTTATTTACTTACTCATGTATTACTTCTCCACTTTTGTATCGCAACTGTTGCACAGCAATTTCCCTCGGGATAAATAAAGCTTCTTTAATTTGAAACTTGAATCAAAGGCTGACCTGAGCTCACTTGCCATGCTCGAGAGCCATTGGTCCATTGAATTAACAACTTAGCAGCTCACCTGGTCCTTCGTCTTCCCTTCTCTTTCTCTGACGTGGGTGGTGACAATCCTCTCAGTCTCCTCTCGCAGTCTGGGGTACGAATTGAGCTGAAAGGCAACACAAAACACAACTGCGGCACTGAACAGAGACACATGTGCGTGCACACACACACGCACACACACACACACACACACACACACACACACACACACACACACACACACACACACACACACTAACATGTGAGCTTGAGCTTAGTAAGACTTACCAATAAGTATCAGAGAGAAACGGGAGTGAGAAGTGAGAATAAGTAGAGAACATATAAAGGGGAAAGAGATAATCAAGTGACACTTCAGTGTCACACATATCCAAACAACCACAAACCAACACACACAAGCATACCAACTGACTTTAAATAGATGGTCACTGTCAGTTCTGCAAGGTGATCAGGCATTTACTATCAGCCAGGGATGACTTCATGAATACAATAATCAATGTGGTAATAGTGTAAGTCTGCCTTAATCATGGCCTTTTTACAATATCAACAGATTATCTATATATATTTTAAATAAAAAGAGCAATGTCCACCTTTGAAGACATGTCAATACATTCAAAACTGTCATCTCTAGCTGATGGTGGCGTTTTTATAGTTATTAACATTAGTGAAGACTGAATGAGAAGGGAAAGTGACAGAATGGGGTGAGACAGAGGGGATGATGGCTACTGTGTGTATGTTGAATCATGTCATGGTGTGCAGCTCCTCCGTTTGTCCACAAGATGGCAATGAAGCACCGTTGCTATGGAAACGCTCCATTCAAGCTGCTACTGCACCCACAGAGCCCATAGGCTATTAGTATCATGTCCCCCCCAACATCACTCCCTGTCTATATGGTTCAGCAGATAGCAGAATGTCAGTCTGCCGTGTGGGTGAGCGAGGGAGCGTAGCCGGGCTACTGACAGACCAGGCTGAGTCTTGGTCAGTGAGAGAGGCAGGAAGCAATGTAGAGGTGGGGGGGGGGATGCTTTAATGAGCTGATGCTGAGGTCAAACAGCATGTGAGGGCTGGCTGGTGGAAGTTGCGATTATAATTTAAGACATGATTTGTAAGTCAGTGCTCATTCTGAATGATATGGAGACTTTCAGAAGTGGGAAGGGAGTAGGGATGGAACAATACATAACATTTGAAGCAGTGGGCACGGATGGTGTAGTGGCAAGGGTGGGGATGGGGGCTGATTTCACTGGGGTGACCATTTTACTGGGATGACAGAGATAGACATTTAAAGAGAAAAAGGAATCCCTTCTCTTTTCATGCCATCATCCCAGCAGGGTGAGTCCCTGGTTACCTTAACGGCACACTTCATCACGAGTGCGGTGAGTTCGGACACCACAAGATCCACACATTTGAGGCTGGGTTCTTTGAGTTTCAGGATCTGCTTTTTGACAATCGCCTCGAAAGCCAGGTCAGGGGTGAAGAGCCCCGTTCTGAAAGGTCATGCGGTCAACATTGCATTTTGTTGTGGTGGTAAAGAGAGAGGGATAGGCAGAAATCAAGGACAGAGAAAAAGAGGACAGCCAGGAAAGAGGAAGAGAGGAAATAAAAAGAGAAAAGGTCTTTGTTCAGTTAGTCATTTCTAGTTGTTTACAGACAAATCAACCAGTGGAGAAGGACAAGCCACAGGTTTTTTTTCACATCCTCTTCCCTGACAAGCCAGTTCCTCTGAAACTAGGTCAATATAGTAGAGATGGAGACAGAGAGACATGCCACCTCCAACTTAAGGCCAATACAGTTTAAGACCACCTCATGGTTTTGCTGGCTATGTGTACCGAGTTGTGAGGCCTGTGGCTTGTCCAGGAGAGACCAGAGATGCTCAGACAGGTTGAGTCCCTGAAACATCTCATATCCAAGACGACACGTCACCCGTCACAACACTCCACAACACGACAGCACTGCCTGCACACAGGGCTAACTGGGCTGGGCTGGGCTGAGGGCAAACTGCACAGAACGTTTTTTTTCTTTTTTAAATACAAGAACTAAACTTATCAGTGGAGACCTCTCTAGATATTGTACGAAGCTGTTGGCTAATGTTCTGTGCCAGCGTACCCTCTGCCACAACCATGGTGGCCCCTGGCCCGTGTCTCGGCTGGGTCGGGAGATGCTGGACACCTGCAGTACCTTGTTGGTGCACTGCCTGACTGTGTTGATGAGCTCCTGAATGACCAGATCGATACATTTGAGACAGGGTGTTTTCAGCTTAACGATCTGCTTTTTCACGATGACCTCAAACGCCAGGTCTGGAGTGAACAGCCCCGTTCTGAGGATTCACAGAGAGACAGAGGCACAGCAACAGACAGATGGGACAGTTAACAGACATGTAGGCCAAAAAAACAAACCAACAAACAGATGAATAGACAGATGACTAGGTAAACATGAAGACAAACAAGTGATCGTAGAGGTCTGCACTTATGGACAAAGAGAAAGAAACAGAAAAGTAACATACTGTCAGCCATAGTGGGGGTGGGAGAGGGGCACTACAAGCTAAATGTAATTAAGCATACGACCATAAATGAGATGTGACAGACAGGAGAGTATCAGTGATTATCAGTGAGGAACACGACAACATTAGCGCAGTGGCCACAGACACAAAAACTCATAATAAAATACTTCAGCAGACAGACAGACAGACAGAGAAAGAGTGGGTGGTGCAGCAGTGAGGAGATGAGGGGATTGGGAGAACAGTAAGGGAAAATTGAACAGAGGGAATAAATTTCACATACAACAACACTTTTATGGATATGCCACTTTGAATTGGTGCTTTTAGTTTGTGATGGCAAGGCTTGATTATAAAAAAAAAGCAATTATAGAAGAATAACAGCGTTGATGAAGGGAGAAAAGCGAAGCATGTGTGTATTTCATGTAAAAGCAGAAAACAGGTGTTCATTGAGCTCCGTGGTTGGCTACAGTGGAAGGCAGGTAGGTTTTTTTGTCTCAGCTCCACTTGCCTGACACCATGTACGTTCTTGATTGCATGACTGATTTCTCGCCTTAGCTCCTTCTCGTCAAACACAATCTGAGGGGAGAAGAGGCAAATGATACTTCAACAAATCTAGGAGTACTTCAATCTTTGTGCAGACTCCTACAGCCGAAACACAATATCAATAATACCCAACATATCGATCCTCTTCATGGCACACTAACCTTGACCAGTTCAAAGGGGAAGCGTTCATGGAAGATGCGGTTGATCTTGGCGCCACCAGACAGCTCATTGGTGTCCACCTGGTCCCCAGAGCCCTCAATGCACTTCTCAAAGTCCACACCAAACTGCTGCACCATCCTGATAAGGGTCAAGCACAAAACCCATGTGGCAAGTGTGAATAATCTCCTTGCAACTGCAGCTGGAGCTTTCCTGGAGATCCACTGCAAAAATGTCATGAATGTAATTTCATATTTGCATGCTACGACTTCACCTAACCCATCTCATCTTGGCAGCTCTTCCATTTATTCTAAAACAGTGAATGTAAGATGTTTCAGCGCAGTTAATTTCAATACAATACTTTATTAACTTAATTAGTAGGCTACTCAGCAAGCTATGCAAGGTTCAAAATCAGTACTATTGTGTTAGAGAAAGTGCTGAAGAAATTATCATAATAATACAGTCAAAAACAACATGGATTTTTACAGCACTGTTTTATACTGCTGAGACCGTTTAGTCATAATTTGCAATCATCTGCTTCAAGACACATTTGCCCTGTGCAGTTTGCATTAAAAGTAGCTGTCGCAAGTCACACCACCCCCAAAACTATCTCCTGTGAGAACCACAAGTATGCCAAATTGTTATAAACAGCAACATGCAGATGCACTCACTGCAACAAGGCCTTGGTCTTGCGTGTCGGGTCATCTGGACGGAAGTTCTTGTACTCCTCCACCTCCTTCTCCAGGGACAGGAGCTGACTCTGCAGCTTACTGCGCAGACCAGGCAGAGTATCCCTGATGTGGTTGGTCAATTGCTAGAGACAGACAGAGCCAGAACGAGAATAAGATTTACTTTGTTAATCCCCCTTTGATTTTTACACACAAAAGCAAAAGCCTCAAGCAAAGCCCTGTTATATTGAAAAAATCAATGGCTTGGTAGAGAGGAAGTTATATTTTACTATTTCAAAACAAACAGTTAAAAGCAGACCTGGTTGAGTGTCTTTTGTAGATGTGGTGTACCCATACGCTCTGCAATATGTCTGTAGGCAGGGTGGGAGAGGAAGAACTTTCTCTCTGCAGCCAGAGCAGCACGAATATCCTTCTTCCCATCGATGTCTTTCTGGCTGCGGTTCACAACACCAATGTACCCTGCAAACAACAACTCAAATAGTCAGTCTAGAGTAAAAAATAAAGCCTGAGTACATGTATCTGTGTGTTTAATCCTCACCTCTACGCAGTGGCAGTAGTTTATTTTCGAAGATGTCCTTTGCATCCGTCCCTTCATCCATCAGGTCCAGTTTTGTTATAACACCAATGGTACGCATACCTGCACAAAATTGTAAGTTGTAACTACATCAATTCAAACAATATTATTACATCTCGCCACCTAGTTTCCTACTACACAGAACAATTATGTGAGTGTCTTTGACCTTTTCCTAGCAGAGGCCTGTATAAAAAAACACTAAAAATATTTGGCAGAGACAGATTAAATAATAAATTAAATTAAATGAATCGTCTATTGCACACACAGCAGAGTATAAAATATTGAGGGTCAGTCAAGAGAAACCGTGTGAACATCAAAGCTGGAGTGCAGAACTTTTACATATAAATGAACGTCTCTTCTGTACATTCATTCTCCTGCTAAACAAGGTCACATGATGCTGATTAAGCCTATCACTGTAGAGGAATTCCCACGCCGGCACACCGTCAGTGATGCGTTTTACAACAACCAGCAATGATTTGTTTGCCTAAACTTAAGGGGGGAGCAACCATAGCGACAGAGTGGGCTATAGCAACTAAGTGTATGCCTGCGTAAGCATATGTTACACCAGACTAGTAGGGTGGTGTAGTATAAAATTTGATGCATGTTGGTGAATATTATAGGCTGGAAATCAAGTAATCACACAAAATGCTGGAAATTATGTTGTAAGCACTACGTTTTTAATCACACAGAATATTAGAATTAGAGTCACTAGGGGCACTTATGGGTTAGCAAAAGTTGAGAAGAGGGCAGGACCTATGACAATGTTGTATAACCCTGAAGAGTATAAAAGGAGATGTTCTGACATGAAAATTCAGTCTGCCCATGGATGACTCGGGTTTTGTTTTTCTGCAAAAGGAATAAAGCTCTACTTCTACTGCCAACCTGGATGAATCCTGGCTGTTATTTTTCCATCTAAAGGAAATATTATTGGACCTAATTTGGAGAAAGAAAGCTCAGCTGGCATTGTTGTTATACAAAAGCATTCTGCTCCACGGTGCTCACCGCTATGTGTGACTGTGGCTACTATATGTCAACATACTTGATAGATGCTGTTAGGGTGTATGTATGTTGTATAACTCTGACAAAGAATAAGGTAACATATGTTTATTAACCTACATTATGAGGCAGGTGACTCCAATTAACACATTTTTAATACGTCTTTCTTTCTTAAGCTATGTTCCCTTACATTGCCAATAGAGTAAAAAGAGATACTCATGTTTTAACAGGAGTATTCCTTTTAGGCCCATCCCTAAGCAGTAGAAGATTAAATGAGGGGCAATGAATATCATAAGACTCTAAGTCTAATGTGATTTTAATGTTTCACGGGATAGTAGAAGAGTGTTACATTATGTTCGCAGGCCTTCTCTTTGACCTCTGAACTAGAAAGCTGCATGCTCACCTTGTGGGTCCACCTCCTTGGCGATCTTCAGAGCGTCAGAATTGGCCAGGTCAGTGTTTGCAGGGGTGACAGCCAGGATCAGACAGCTCTCCTTAGTGATGAACTGCATCAGCATATCCCTGATCTGGTGCTCGATGTCTATGGGCTGGTCTCCCACGGCAACCTTAGTCATTCCCGGAAGGTCGATCAGGGTCAGGTTCAGCACTAAGTCACGGACAGAAGTCATAAAAATGAAAAATGCAAATGAGATTGTTTTTTCCATCGGCTGAGTTGAATAAAATAATCAGGCTTCAGTATGTGGTAATAACAAACTAGCCTACAGATATCTTAACAATATATCATCATTCAATCAAGTCATGTGATTCTATAACTTTTTTTTTTTTTTTTTTTTTAACAAAGCAGTGTATCTAGTTTAATTTGACACATAATTAACTTGCATGAAGCATTTGAATGGAAAACCAGATTGTGATGGGTGTAACACAAATAAATGTTTAATGAATCAAGGGCATTCTCGATGAAAGGGCAATCACTGTGTTGAGGAAACACACTGAATATTCACAGTGTTGTTAATATGTTCTTTTATATGACATTTTAAAGATAAATACGGTTCTGGTATTTTTAATGCGTTTGTCAACTTAATTTTCCTCCCCTCTCATAAAACATCTACACTATCTGCCTCAATTTAACATGTTAAAGGGTGTGTGTGGTAGTAGTATTTTTAATCTTTGATCTTGAGTAAGCAGTCTAGTTTGTTTTTTACGTCATAAAAAATAAACACCCTCTGAGGTTTTTTTTACTTACAAGTGTTAAATTTACTGAAAGAAATAATGATGAAAAAGTCCAATTTGACAGTGAATACCCTGTGACAGCTCCCACAAGGAGATAGATAGATGTTTGTGATAGCCATTTATTGATGGAGTAAAAAAACACATTTAGAACATCACAAATGTGACTTAGCTTTTAAGTGTTTTACCAAAAACAAACCAATCTATTTTTTTCCTGATATCTTACAATGCTCTCTGGAAAAGTACACTACTCACAAAAAGTTAGGGATATTCCACCTTCGGGTGAAATTTAATGAAAATGTAAAAAGTTGATGCTACAGTGATATTATATCATGAAAGTAGGGCATTTAAGTAGAGAAGTTCAAATTAAGATCACCTGGAAAGGTTATAGTGCATTTTATGTACATTCTGAAATTTAATCCGAAAGCCAAATATCCCTAACTTTTTGTGAGTAGTGTAATTGTTAACAGCAAGGGGCAGATGTCAGTAGCACAGAAAACAACTCCAGCAATATGGAGAAAATCTTTTATCATGGTGTAAGCAATAGGATGATATATAGTGTGATATATTACAACCAGGTATTATAAGAATACTAAGATACTATTTATTCTGTGATATCAGTAATCTGATGGTTGAAAAAATAATATTGTCTCACGATATATCTTGTCATATAAAATTCAGATTTACTTTACATAAGCCAAAAGAGCACAAAGTGTTGTATGTATGTGGGTTTTATGAGACTTGTGTCCTTTACCGTGTGGGGAGTAGACCCTCAGGTTAATTGGAACGGGAGAGATGCCTTTGTTGGACCCTGTTATCCTGTCAGTCTCTGCCTCGATTTCCGACCGCACTTCATCAAAATCCACAAACTTCTTCCCTTTGCAGTGCAGGAATTCAGCATATTCTAGGTGGTAGAGAAAGGGACAAAGAAAAACAAAGAGCAGGGGGAGAGAGAAAAGGAGAAAATTAAATTCAATAGATGAAAGTAGCAAATAGCAGACAGTGTACTGAGCTTGAGGCACTGTGACCGAGAGGCCATATGCAGAGCAGTGATAAAAGGAGACAGGGATGTGGCTGTGCACACGGCTGATACACTCACCTGCTTTATTGTTGACCAGTTGCAAAATGAGAGGTCTACGGGTAACAATGCCTGATCCACGTGGAAGAAAGTCCCTGGGTGAGAGACACAGACAGAGGGAGAGGAAGAAAAATCAGCACCAATATTGTACAGAGTAAAAGGGATGAAAAGGACGTAAATCAAAAACAACAATAAAGGGACATGTTGGGTAAACAGAAAAAGACAAAGCAGCAGAGAGACACAGAGAGAGCGAGAATGTTCAATTATTCATTACACTCAATGTCCATTTCCTCGGAGCGTGGCCTCTGGTAAATTGATGGGCACAGGGGAATTTCACGCCTCCAACTTGTCTCAGAACAAATCAAATGTGACAGAGTCATTTTCTGTCATCGTTAGAGCTTTAAAGATCAATTCATGCACACCCACTCTTGCTGTTCTGGCGAAAATCCACCCTAAAATACAATTAATAGATGTTATTATCTACAGTATTCTACACTTCATTTCACTTTTAATTTATGAATTTAAACAAGTCTCTCATTATCCTGAACTAAACAGACTGTAATGATAATGTCATCAACAGACAAATCCTAGAGTTGCACTGCGGAGGATGAATGATGGAATAATTTCTAGGACACTATGACAGCACCAATGGAGATATAACTACGATATGAATATTTTTTTTGATTAACCACTAAATGGCCCATATTCAAAGGACACTAATATTGATGTAATTTCTCAAATAAAACTACCACACCATAGACTCCGAGTACTTCCACATTGAGCTACTTAAACATCTGAAAGTATAATTTCCAGACTAAATCGGCCTTTTCTTGCCCCAAACCTGAGTTTTTTCCAAACGTCCTCCAGAGTGTGTAAATCTTAAAATGCTGGCTCCGGTGTTTGAGTGTTGATGGGGTAAACTGAGCAACCCAAAACGGAGCGGAGTTGTGTGCCACCGTGCCATGCAACTTAAGGAGACAACCAGTTAGTCGCCTCTTACTTTCTCTGTGATCATTAATTTTAAATGAGCATCTGAATACACAGCAGAGCTGTTGTCATTAACATGGATTTATGTAGATTTTTTCAGATGACATCGTGTTTATGCAATTAAATAACAAATAACCATCTCATACTTGTTTAGCTGTCTGACAAAAGAAACAACTCTATTGTGAATGTTGCTGCATTAAAAACACACTACAGGTGACCACAGAGAGCAGAAGAACATTGAATGCAAATGTAACAGGCTGTCACTCTGCCTAACAACCGGCTGTGTTTATAACCTGGTCACAGGAAGAGGTTGTGTACAAAGTTAAGAAGGCAAATTTCTGTTCTGCAATTTGTTCTGTAATCATGCATTTTAATGTCAATATAGCTGTCACCATCACTGACCTGTATTTATGTTGATTTTGCCAGACCACATGAACCTAACCATGAAATTATGATTTGGTTAGCTGGGCTGTCAGTCCCACTCCTTATCAGATGTTAGCTGTGCAGTTTTGTGTTTGACAAAGGAGATTTAGCCAGTTGTTCAGACACTTTACTGTGGACAGAGGTTTCTATAAAAATGAATGAAACACTAATGTGGACATAAATTATTTTCACACAAAAGCAGTGTATAACCTGGGAGCCCATAGTTTCTCCTTCGGGCTTGGAAGGGGAAGTTGTAGCGAGGGAGTGCTGCACCTACACTGCTAGGTGCCACTAAATCCTACACACTGGACCTCAAAAGACGTCTGCTCGATTTTCTAACTCCCTACTTAAAGGACAGGCAAGGCCCATGGTTTCAGCTGGCCACTGTTAGCTTTAGTTTGAGCCCAGACTGTGTCAATACAAGAGATAACGCCTTAACCACACAAGCCTCAGGCCTGAAACCTGACATTGTGCTATGCGCACATACTCAACAACAAACTTCATCTTGCAACTTTACTGCACCATGTCGTGCATTGCTTGAAGCATGAGATGACATTAAACAAACAACGGCAAATGCTATTGGTGCAACCGTGCATTATTGAGACACCAGCCTAGAGGAAACAATGAGAACTCTCTCAGTCGGCTTGTTTGTTCCCCTTAAAGTGACAGGGTACCTGACAAATTTTTAACCACATGCAAATTGCTTAGTCAGCCCTCAGATATGGCTCCTCCACCCAGTCTTCTGGACTCCCCTCCCAATTCTGCAGGCCTCTCTGACGCAAACATAAAACATCTGGTGGCAATCACCAGCTTCAGTCCTGGAACAATCATAGCTGAGCAGAGCATGTCACTAACCCATATTCTCTCATTCCACCCTACTGCCAGACCTACAGGCCTGAGGGGACTATGGCTGTGCTTAGGCTGCCTGCTGACTGTAGACTGGAAGCAATGTGTCAGCCACAGGACAGGAGAAAAGAGAGGAGCTGCCATACTACATACTGCCTGTTATTCCTAGACTGTAGTCCTGTGGTGAAACAGTGGGGAACATTCTGGATGTTCCTTACATCAGCAGAAATCCACAGGTCTGTGGTTCAGCACTGGTGCTGTGTCATGCACATAATGTGAAGCATGCAAGCATTTGTCCACACGGTCGACAGTATAGAAAGCCCTGGATGAGGAATGGGAGCAAGGGAGAGAGGGAGTTGGGGATAAAGAAGAGTTACAGGCAACTCTCACTGGATTTTCAGAAAATGCCACCTCATTCACTCAACAAGTGGTCACTGGTTAAAGTCGTACAGCAATAAGATAAAGTGCCAATAAAGTTTAAAACACATGCAGAGAAGAGAAGATATAACGTAAGAACAGAATTGAACCAGTCAGTCTTCATAGATAGAACTGGATAAACAGCAGTGACATACTGAAAAGAAGCAAGAGGCCATGATTACATTATTGATGCGCTGTAAATGATAGACGAAGCTGAGCAGATTGTGTATCAAGTCATGCATTATGGATGGCCAAGCAAAGAGCATCAGTCTGTGAACCTCCCTCCCTCTATCAGGGAAAGCAAAAGAGAGAGTAGGGCAGGGAGTGAACGGGAGCGCCAACTCCCCTCCCCCCTGCCTGCCCGACAGCCTCTGCCTCTTACAAACTGGCAGAGCAACTCTGAGGAGCCATAGCCCTCAGCTGATCCTCCTTTTCCTCGAGTCTACAGAGACCCGGCGGTGCTCGTTTTCAAACATGAAAAACCAGCATGTGAAGCTCTGAGGTCATAGCGCGCTCTCACGGGAGGGTGTAGTATACAAAAATGTGTTTGTGGTCTGATGGGACTTATCCCGTGGGTCTCTGGTGTGGCAATGAACATATAATTATGGCTACCCGCATTCCCGCACTACAGTCTGTCACTGTGGGTACCAAGATGCATCACTAGGCAGCAAAGCCTCGTCAGGCATTTAGCAGAATCCATCTGCTTAGCGGAAAATCCCTCCGCTCTCTGTCACTTGGCTGTCTGTACTTCTTCCTCACAGGGATGTCCACTGTGCTACACACAGGCATCCAGACTGGTGGACATTTCTGTGCAAATTCTTTTAGCCACTATTCTGGAGTAAGTCTGCCGCAACAAGTCGAGACGGAAGCAATGCATTTAACGCCAACACTCAAATTCTAATGATAGTAACATGGTCATATTTTGGTAAAGGTGCCACTGAATTAGAGCAAGGCTGATAGTCTTTATTGAGGGCCAACTGTTTTTAATTAAGATGTAGTACAGCTTTAGACCAAGGACTACTGTTTCACACTTGCTGCTGGTTTGTTAGTAGACTTCTCGCCACAGATCTGATAACAACCACCACCCAGGCCAGCTTGCGGTGCTAGATATGATGTCTTAACCCCTCACTGGGACAATGACATCACAACACAGCACAGCCAAAAACGGAGACACTGTCTGATCACCATCTCTAAACTGAGAGTTCATTATGATCCAATGACGCATGCATTAAACTGTAGACAAATACAGTAAAACAACACTGAAAAGTTAAGCTAAATGTAATTCAGCACAAAGCCACACGTTTACTAAAAATCAAGTTAGTTGTAAGATTTTTTTTATATCTTGTTTTATACTTGTGATGGCTTTGTTGTTTGTTTTCTGAGCAGCTGTTGGTGTCATTTAAACAGTTCAGTATTTCCTCTATGTTGATTTTGGAGCGGCGGCCCACCATTGTTCAATTTCTGCCGCCACGGTATCAGAAATGGGGCAGACGCACAATGTAGTAGCGGTTGCCTTTTAAATGATCCTGCCGACATAATGCACCCCCGTTGGCTGCCGCTCACATTGCAATTTAACAACAAGTAGAACTATTCAGAGGTTATTGGGGCTGTCCAGTTTATCTCCACATACTGTTGTGTTGATGTAGCTTATTGTCAAAACGTTCGCTTTCTTCCAAGTCAACTATTAAACTAACAGCTCCACCAAAAACGTCACCACGGTGGGTCTGTTTTAATTAACACTTAACACTTAATTAACACTGTCAGTTCTCAGCTCAACGTCCTGATATCAAACATCTGGAAACATTAAAACGGTAGATATATTTGTTTGTGTTGCAGCGAAGTGTGTGTGGGGGGGGCGTTCGGACGGGTCTGCCCCCACTGCTAAAAAAAATCCTAGAGGAAACACTGCAGTTTATCAAGAGGAGACCGGTCTGGAGATTCTAACAAGCCCTACGATATACACATAACAGCTGGTGGAGACAGGTATGTGATGAAGATGTCCATCCCATACCATTTTCACAGTGAGCTTTTTTGAATTAACAAACAGCAAAACGTATAAATGCCAGTGAAGCTGCATGAACTACATCAGGGCCGTGGCACTGACACATCTGAATGGAATGCAGCCATTTTTATTATAATGAGTTACATCTGCATTGGTCCTGAAAAAGGTCTTTTAGGTCTTGAATGCTTGTTAGCATAAAGCACGGATGATTTTAGTGTGTATGTAGTGTTTAGAGTTTGTCCAATGTGTCAGAAATACTTAAGGTCCCTCATTAGGTGGCTGTGATGGATATCTAAACAAAGACACACACACACACACACACACACACACACACACACACACACACACACACACACACACACACACCAAAAGACAGAAACATTCACATATATGTGAGGCTGTTGAGCCACAGTGATTTGATTAGCTTCTATCGAGCAAAGGATGCAGAGTGGACTAGTCAGCCAATGTGTTCTGGTCTCCAGCAACAAACCTGGAGGGAACAGAGGCCAAAATCACATTGACAACATGGGTCAACAGAGCACAGCGAGATTCTCAATCCCATCTGACCACCCGAGCTGAAAATGAAACTGAGACACAGCAAACACTAGATCTAGCCCTACTTTCCCTCACCACTGGAACCAGTAAATGTAAAGCAGGAACTGAGCAATGACAGACATGCATATTATGAGGGAGAACATTTCCCAGTTTGCCCGAGTGAAGCAGTGAGTTAAGTCGCTTGATCATAACATCCGCATGGAGTTCAGGCGGGAGAAAGAAAAGGAGGAGCATTAACCCTCTGTGTCTAAATCATACAGTCTATGGTCTGAAATGAGTCTTTCCCACAAAATAAGGGACTCTGTTTGTTTTTGGTGCCAGAGAAAGGCAAAGGGGGAATATTTCTATACCTTGGGGCACAGAATAAAGCCGGCCTTTCACACACAACATGCACCTTACCAAAGAAAAGGCCACTGGGAAAACCATTGAGAAACCACTACCGACAGTAGCTTTGTACTCATAGTTCAAATCTGTTGTCACCACAGAGAATTTATTAGCAAAAACTAATAAACTCATAGTTTTGTGCACTAGATGACTGAAAAATATGGTTTTGGGTTCATGTGTTGGCCGCTCCTGAGCACAAACAAGTCCTCTGATCAACAGTGAGTCACCTCAACGTAAGTGCGCCTGTTGCTATAGTGATATGCAGCACCTCCCAAATGCTTACCGGCTGAAGTAAGAATGGACCTTGTAGCCTCTAGTTTGACTTCTACTTGTTCCGCTTTGTTGGCTTTAAAGTTCAACTGCGAAACAAAAACTGAGTAGCTGCTGCTGCACTTTTTTATCTTTTTAATCAAAAGATAATAAACACTGCAAGTGCTCCACTCACATACTTCATAAAAGGATGAACATTTACTACATATGCTATAGCATATCTGCAAAGTGCTTGTGTAACTTCTCAGCACATTGGTTCATGTAAGTCCAATGAACTGGCGGAAAGTGAAAGGCCTACACACACAGTGAAATTGAGGTCACCATGAAATGTCTCATGTTAATTACAGCTGATGTATGTCAAGTGCTCTCACAGTGCAAAGTCCCACTCATCTGAATTAATGTGCACCGAGTGGTAGTCTAATCTGCCTGTGTGTTCTTGCCTGAGAGCAGTTACGACATACTCTCGCCAGTGTGTTTATAACCAAAGGCCTGTCTGCATGCCATCTTAATAGGCAATGTACTTCCTCTTCTCTGGCTGGCTGGCCTGCGTGTTATTGTGTGATCCCTGTGTGGGTTGGGTTACGCACACACCGAGTGCCTTTCAATGGGGTGGAAACCTGCTAAACAAGCTGCTTTGGAGCGAGCTTGTTTTGATTTTTTTATTATCTGCAGGCCGATCTCACTGCTGATGTGGTAGAGGACAACAGGACCAGCCGGTTGAGGAGCACCGTAGCTCGACATTCACACCACGGCGAATGAAGAAACATCAAGTCTATTTCCTTAAGTTCTACAGTTTTGCCAGAAACAGTAACAAAAGAGGAAGATGGCATGGGAAGTTATGTCTGCTACAGATGTTAACTTGTGTTGTTTGACACATTTCTGCAAAAGGCTGCTTTGAGGTCAAACGCAATGCATTATATAAAACGCACTGCAAAAACATCCCTACAGAGATTAGGTGGCTTGCTCTGCGTCTACTTCTCTTCCTGATAAAATGTTTACTCCCTCATATGAAAGGATAAACTAACAACAAACTCTTATTTGACCCAATACAACTCCAATCAACAGCTGTGAGCTACGGACCAAATCAACAATTACTGGTAAATGCATATCCTGTAGGATATTCTGGGTGTGGCATGGAAATATAAATGGAAACAAAGGGCAAAGTCCCCATTCAGAACTGAGGACAAAATCATGTGCACTATAATAAAAGTACCACAATGAGACACAATCCTTATCTGAGGTAATTTTTATAACGGTCTTAGTTTGACATGTTGAAAATGTCAGGTTATAAAAAAGGAACCGGTTATAAAAAATATTTACTGACAGCCCTAGGAGGCATAAATACTGTGCAAAGTATTGGAAATGATCAGAGAACATACAGGAGTAAAGAGACATGCTGTCTGACTTTTGTATCCCTCGTCGTTTGAAGGAATTCCTACACTTGAGCTCAAACAAACATATATATATATATATATATATATATTTTAGACCCACTGGTTTGCACGTAAAGGGCGTATCTACGTCAAGTTTTTGAACCTTTCGCTTCACACAAGGCAGGTTTTACGACAAGTGCGTAACTCCATATTGACGTTACGCACTGGCACTAACGTATCGCAGCCCTGCTGGACAATCAAAACACAGTTTCACAAAGTCAGACCGCGCAAGACACTATTTAAACCATGAAATCACCGCCTTGGTTAAACTTAAAATCAACCACAGTCACTCACCTGCCAACAAAATTTTCCAAGACTGAGCTTTTTCCAGCGCTCTGCCCGCCGACCACAGCGATCTGAGGAAGGTCTAAATTGCAACTCTGGCCAATGGTGCTGAACGCGTCTTGAAGCTTGTTGATGAGGGGAATCAGGTCTTCCATGCCCCGGTTCCCCATGGCTTCGTTAGCTCGGAGAGCCCCTTCCACACAACGGACCAGAGGCTAACGTTAGCCGCGCTAACTATATGGGTAACGTTAGCTTAGCAGGCAAGGTGCTCTCGGGTTACTCTGAAAGTGTTGAGTTTCCGCCGCTTTCAAAACAGCTCGGGCTTTTTATTCTCCCCTTGAACACTTGAGCGGTTGCCGGTAATGCAGTTCACACTAATATCATTTCGTGTTCTTTTAAGCGCATTAACTAAATACTCAGTCAGTCGAAAACGGACGGACAAACTCGCAAAACAAAACTTCCTCTACACAAACACCATCCGGTCAGGATAGACGACATCCGATCGAAACCGGTGAGTGAAGACCCGCCTCTTGTCTGCGAAACCAAGTCGCTCATTGGTCAATTTCGCTGCTCCTCCGTCAAGCGAGCGTTCTGATTGGCTGCTCTAAAAGGCGTGTTTGCCACTCTAAACAAATCGCTCTGCTCTGATTGCTCAACTCGCTTGTCAATTGCAGCCGCTACGTGTCACATGTTCACTGCAACATGGCTGCCACCATAGAGTGTGGAGCTGATGTAAATACTTCAAGTAACAATATGTCCCTAAAGAGAGCTCTGTCTGCAGCTTCCCCCCTCACTCTGCGCATCGTTGCTCAATGCCCGGTGACCAAAGCAAGAGCTTGTGATCTAATACTGCCACACTGCGCCGTGAGCACCCCGGTCTTCATGCCCGTGGGTACCCAGGGCACTCTGAAGGGAATCACCGTGGATCAGCTGGAGGGTCTTGGATGTCAGATTTGTCTTGGAAACACGTACCACCTGGGCATGAGACCGGTAGGAGATAGTACAATAATAGCTTTTATTGTGAGTCATTTGACTTTGAATTGTGGCCTTTGACAACTTTTGTAAAAATGTGTCTTTCCATTTTTAACTCTTCTACCTGCAGGGGCCTGATTTAATCGAGAAAGCCAATGGGTTGCATGGGTTCATGAACTGGAAGAGGAATCTTTTAACTGTGAGTGTAGCTTTACTAAATCAGTCACTCACAGATGAAAGAATAAGGTGACAAGAGGTGGGCGATGAGCTTTGTTGCTGAAGTCGTGTGCTTCACTTTCCTCTGCTTGCAGGACAGCGGTGGGTTTCAGATGGTGTCTCTTGTTGAGCTCTCAGGAGGTCACCGAGGAAGGAGTAAAGTTCAAGTCCCCCTACGACGGCAAAGAGATCCTCCTAAGTCCTGAGAAATCCATCAGCATACAGAACAGTCTCGGTCTGTAAGGAATAAACTAATTTGAATCAGTATTACGTAAGACATGGACGTTCCCCTCCAATTCCCAGTGGCTAAAAAGACACGGTGTCCATGTTTGTCTGTGTTCTTCCAGGGTCAGACATCATGATGCAGCTGGACGATGTGGTCAGCAGTACGGTGACGGGACCACGGGTGGAGGAGGCGATGCACAGATCCATTCGTTGGCTGGACCGCTGTATAGCAGCCAATAAAAATCCACACAAACAGAACCTTTTTGCCATCATCCAAGGAGGGTTGAATGCAGAGCTGCGCAAAGCCTGTCTAGATGGTAAAAGACCTTCTCTGTAGTGATCCTATGATCTCCTACCTCTCTCCCTGGTACTGACAAGCATGCTGGAGGATTGATTATATTGGGATAGAACATAAGAACATGTTTAATGGTCTATGACTAAAAAGTTTACATGCCATGTTTCTCCACTCTATTTATCCATTAATGGATAGTAACAATCTTGTTCACAGTGCCAGTGTGTAAAGAGGAATGTAGTAATATAAGATATTTGCTGTCAGATTTAAAGAGATTTAATATTGTGCAAAGATATCGGCAACAATCTGCATGTTGGCAAGGAAAACGGAAATGCGCATTACAATACATTTTAATGTCCACTCTAGCTGTAAAGTAGCTCCTTGTCAACAGTCTGACAGTGAGACACTGATGATAAGAGCTTCAGATATCTTATCCCCCTTCTGTAGAAATGACTCAACGCGACGTTCCCGGTTTTGCCATCGGCGGCCTGAGTGGAGGAGAGGAAAAGGACGACTTCTGGCAGATGGTCACACTGAGCACTGACCATCTGCCAAGAGAAAAGCCTCGATACCTGATGGGTGTGGGGTATGTTTGCTTGTGTGCTGGGAATATCTCATGACAACTGAGGCATCAAAGGGCGTTAAGGTTTTTTAAAATGACATTAAGAGTGCGTATCATCCTCATGTGCTGCAGGTACGCTGTGGATTTGGTGGTGTGTACAGCTCTGGGATGTGACATGTTTGACTGCGTGTTCCCCACCCGCACTGCAGTAAGAACTTATAATCACTTTCTCATCACTTTCAAAATCGTCTTTTTTGCTTAGCAGTTATAATTCCATATAAAAAAGCTGAGTTTGACTGTGTTTCTGACAGTCATGTTTCTTTTTCCTCAGAGGTTTGGCTCTGCCTTGGTGCCTTGGGGGTCCCTCCAGGTAAAACATAAGCAGTATGCCAAGGACCTCCGGCCCATAGACCCAGACTGCCAGTGTCCCACCTGCAAGAGGTAAGTCAGGAGCAAACATATAGATTTGTTAGCCCAGCTGTCAGTTTTTGGTCTAAAGGAGGGAAGTTTATGTACACATTTTAATCTAAAATACATTTTTCATTAAGAATACACATACAGCTACCTTATGGTTACTTTGACCAGACAGTGTAGTAAGTGAGAGGTCGGAGGTGTGTGGATAAGCACATTTTTGTACCACATATATTACTGGAAATATAATAGAGAACAATAATATGCTTGTTTTCTGTTTCAGACACAGTCGGGCATACCTCCATGCTCTGTTCAAGAGTGACACTGCTGCCATGCATCACATCACTATCCATAACATTGCCTACCAGGTCAGTATTGGAAATGTCTCTGAACAGTTATCATCATATCATTACTCAAGATTAAACAACAACAACAAAAAACATTTCATCACTTAACAAAATACTTCACCTTCAAGAAAATAAGTTTCAAACCTTGTCTCCAGAAGTAATTTAAGCAGATGAATCATTCATTCATCATTAAATGATTTTGTTACACTCATTTTAACCTCCACCATCCTTGTTATTCCAGTCAATGGTGGAAAAAAAATGAATGAATGAGTCCCAAAAATACTACTAAAAGTGCTGTTTCTGTTTAATTCAAATAAAATTGTGTGGGTATAAAATTTAACATTTGAGCAAAGACATGAACAGTAGATCTGACCTGCTCGACAATACATGGTTTTTGTTAATATTAGGCACACTCGAATAGAGTAAACTTAATTGACTGGCCGAGGCAGAAAGATATAAACAATAACATGTCCTCAACTTAAAAACATCACACACAACAAAGATCAGTAAGTGCATTCATGCTCTTGGTTTACAGTCCACACACTCATATTTAAGTTTACTGTAGTTTTTTGTTTTTTTTTACCTCTTTGAAATAAGAAGATAGATACAAGGAGTATTCCCTTGTGGCTCTATATGGTCGCCTGGAGGGGGGGGCACCTCAAACTCAGGTTGGAGGGGATGTGTTTTTGTCACTGCTGTGCTGTAGAGATCATCTTCCCATCTGTCTTAACAATCCTGTCAGGTTGTTTCTATTTACTAAAGTCCAGTGTCTATACCAGACACCACCTAATACCAGACAGAGATATTAAAAACTAGGATGTACTATCAACCCATTTCAGTGTGTTTTGTCAGTATATTAGTTTCCTGTATCTGCAGTCCTGCCGCTGAGAGATATCAACCCGAGTCACGAGTTTAATGTGTTTCAAAGTCTAATTGCTCTGACAAAAGTTATTGAACTCGCAAATGTATGTGACAGGATTCAGACTATATGTCGCCTCGGGCACAATCATTTCATCCTTCACTACTATTTCTACATCAAAGTGCCACAAACTTGCTCTGCTGCTCTGGCATTATCAAAACAATGTAGAGTGTCTTCTTGTGACAGACGGGTCCCAAAACATAATGTTCATATTTAAGAGAGCATAACAAACGTCTGATTATGCAACATATTCATTTCTTGGTGGGATTTCTTTTTTCTGTTTTGCTACTGAAGCCACACTAGCAGTGTGGCTCTAGGGGATGGCCTGTTGGTTGGCCTGTTGGCCTGTCGGCCTGTCACTCTACCACTTTGATCCAAAGTGAAATGCGAGGACAAGTATTTAATGAAACATTTACATGTTACCCTACATGGTAAATAGTAGCATATTCCTGTATACTCTGAGGTTGCTGACCTGCGGCTGATCCATACACTCTAAAATGCAGAGGAGAAGATGCTTTTCCTCTGCAGATCAATATCCAGCGTTGACACAGCGCTGTAGAGATAATCACATTACTTTTCTCCAATTCATAAAACATTTCTCTTTGCAGCTCACCCTGATGCGCTCTGTGAGAGAGAGCATTGTGGAAGGCCGCTTCCCTGACTTTATACGGACGTTCATGAAGCGAATGTTTCCCTCTCGTGACCAGTACCCCGGCTGGGCTGTGGACGCTCTGGCCTCCGTCAACATCACTCTGGAGTAGAACCTGGAAGGCAGCTTTTACTCAAAATGGGGATAAATGTCAAAAAGTGACTGAAAGATTTAATATCTTTTAAATGACTTTTTTTTATAAATGGATAATTGTTTTCTACTCGTTGTTTATATTTGTATATGCATTGCCAGTTTTGTTGGCAATGAGGAAAATTTCTTTTGCAACAACCTGCTTTACTCAACCTCTGCAAATTGTCCTCAGAGTACACATTATGATAATGTGAGACTGAATGGGGTTTAAATGAGGTTTGAAACACATGAACTATCTCCTCTGATATGCTCAGACACTTTTTGTTGTTACCATGACTACACAGCTAGGCCCACCCACTTGAAATGAAATGTTTTGCCTTCTTGTCAACCTCCTGTTTTATTTTTTTTTCTGCCTGAGTGCATTACAGAGGTATTTCAGAATTAATAAATGTGTATGCATTCTGGTGTTTTAACCCACATCTCAAGAGACGAGTAGTTGTCAGCTAACTGTCTGAATGATAAATGAATCAAGCTCAGTACAGACTGTGTGCTTGTGCCATGATGTCCACCAGAGGGCAAAAAAGACAAGACCAGAGCCAAGTCTGACTGTAAAACTGAATGATATGCTGTAGTAAGTAAGTTTCCTTATAGAGTAAACCGCAGCTCAACTGTCTTTAAGTAAAAATAAAACATGATTACAGTAAGATTAGGCAAATGAGCTGAAATGTAGGAGAGCACAAAAAACACTGATTTAGAAATGATTTACACTAAAGCTTCAGCTTCAACATCCATCTAAATAGTATCAAATCATTCTTATCCATTGTTATTCTTCATTTTCCCATCAGTTTAATAGGCAATAATTCTCGTTGACCCTCTGAGGGAAGGTTTTGTTTGGAGCTTGCAGAGGTGCTGGTTTGTCAAGCCTTGATTGTGGGTGATTAATATTAATCTTCTGGAAGTTAATTTGAATAACACCTGTTGTCTGTGGCTTTGTGTCAACAGTCCTCTTGAGCACCGCATTTGAATTTCATTACTGCTTCTGTTATGACCAAAGGCTCTACGAGATTAAACCTGTGACATCTAATGAGTGGCAGGCAAACAAATGTCTGGCACAGCAGTGTATAGTACTACAATGCAAATGGTGGGTTTGGTGCATAATAAGAGTAGTACAGAAGTGCTTACAGCCTTAATTACAAGTGTTTATTAATTGGTTACAATAAGGGCCGACTAAAATATTCATGGGGGAATTATGCTATGATAATTGTATTTGTATATTATAATAGCCCACACAATGTGACGATTTAAATATATATTTTAAATATATTACAAGATTTTGGTTCTTTTTTGTGAGGAGTAGTGTTTTTCTAGGATATTTCCCAATTCGACTGTGTGTTTTGATTATATTTGGGATGAGGGAGCAACAACACTGAGCTCAGTTGGCAAGCTTAAGCACTAAATAAATTTGATGTGTTCTCATGTATAATTCAGCAGGACAATTCCCAACATAAACGCACTCTATAAAGATCTACAACCCCGTGATATTTAATAAAAGCCCAGTCAACATAAGAAAAACTATTGCTGTCCATGCAGGAATAATAAATACACGTAAACGCTGTTTATCACTGCAGCGCGATGTTGATGGAGGCCGCTTATTGTATCGTATTTATATATATGTCATTTTTTTTTTTTTTTTTTTTTTGTCAGTATTGTTTTTCTAATTGTTACTTCTTCTTTTTCTCTTTTTTTTTTTAAAATCCTGGAATGAAAAGTCGCAGCTACAGTACAGTAGTCCCCATCGGTTGGTTTCACATTTGCAGCCAGTGCGTCCATGCGTAGCTCAGGCAGGGAGGATGCTGGTGTTGAGAGAGGCAACCAGTTGCTCTCCAGCTGTCACAGTAAAAGTGGAGCCTCCCCTACGCACCGACGGATGAACATCCTCGACCTGTTGCCTCGGCGGGAAGAAAAGTAGAGCTGCGTTGTGACGGGCGCCAGAAAACGAAATAAGTTGATTTTTCTTTTTTTAAGGAGGGAGGTCGAAGACGATGCCATGAGGTGTATCAATGTGTTCGTTATTAATCTACGTTTTGAATAGCAGAGGGAAGAGGAACGGAGTTGGTTTTTGGGGGTCTACCTCCTCGGTGTGGAGGTGCGATTTGCGGTGATATCTGTCTCTGTATCTGGGTTCTGAGGAGGAGGAGGACCATGGTCGAACTGGAGAAGGAGGTGCTCCCGCTGCCCCCTCGGTACCGGTTCCGAGACCTGTTGCTCGGGGACTGGCAGACCGACGACAGGTAAGGATGTAGCTACTTGCATCGTTTACGCACGGCGCACTGAAACCGTTGCGCATCATGTCCCCTTGTCTTAGAAGTACTCATTGTTTTTGCATTTGCATTTACTCCCCGTGATCTCGTTGACTCAGGTGTATGAATGTATTGGAGTATGTTACTGCCAACTGTGGAGCTCTGTTGTTATGGATGCTGCAACAGGTTCACTGGTTGCCCTGTGTGCGCAGAGGCGACTGTTGCTAATACAGCAAATCAAATATTATCCCATCAAAAGCTATATACTAATAAGAGAAAAATACTCACATACTCAAGAGAATGAGAGACTAAATATTCATTCAGCAATATTGATTTCATTTATTTTCATGCCATGCAAGAAGCGCATTTTATGTGTAGTCTATATTTGGAACATCAAACAAATTCCTTTGGAGACATCAGCCAGGGAGGAAATGAAGAACGACCAAGTAAGGTAAACTAACTGTATTTTACCTTATTTATTTTCTTCCTCATGCAATAATTCCTGAGATTTACAGTGAACGTCTGCCACCTGGGAAGGCTATTTCAAGTGGGTGCTCTCAGTAACTGGCAATTAACCTTTGCTTACACTCTATTTGCAGGTCAGTAGATTTGACGTCCTATATGATATGTATTGCTTAATTTGGCTATTTCATTATGCTGTCTAATGGAAAACCATAACCTCCATTTCACGCATGGTATATCTTGTTGCTATGTGGAAACGAGGACCAGAACATTTGTGGCTGTTTTAAATCAGACAGATGGGGAATCTTGCTACTGAAAGGAAGAGATCAATCCAAGTCCAGCCATTGGCAGGCTTCATTACAGAGTCACTGCTGCATGCTACCATAGGAGCCTGTCAATATCAATTATCAATTGAAATTATCTATAGAAAAAGCATCTGGCATTGTCCTTCTTTGTGCTAAATCATACCATTATACTGTGTATCTGGATCCCTGAATCCATATTTTGCTCAGCTGTAGCCTAAACAGGCCTGCTCACGCTGGCCAGGCTCTTCCAGCCCTTCTGTAATTTGTCAGCTATTGCCCAAGGACTAATGTTTCCAAACCAGAGTGCAGTGTGACCTCACCTGATTACAGAGGGTCAGTGACAGGGGGTTTGCTGCTTGTTTCTTTGAAGAAACAAAATGAGTTTTTATAGTCCAGGCACCTCATCCTCCAAAAGAAGCGAGGGGAAAAATGCAGGGATAATTTCACCTAATGAATGTAGAAACACAATAGGTGTATAGAGGCAGTGTGGTTGTGATTGATTCGGTTTGTTTGGAGGTTGAGACAGTGAGGATTGTGTGTGTCGGTGTCACAGATGGGCTGTAATACCCTTTAAACACATGATGATGATGAGTGTGTTCAGGGATATCCTGGTTCGATCACGTTTAGGGGGTACTGAGGTTCAAATTAAACTTGTGTGGGCTGTGTATGTTACATTTATTTTGTGCAGAGCTTTCAACGTACCATTTCACACAGTAGGTAGATCCTAATTATGAGCATTTGTATCTGGCAAAATAGAAATTTAGTCCTTTGTATCTCTGATGTGTTTAACTGTGTGTGCCAGTCTCTATAGCTATATCTCTCTCTGTGTGTGAGCATCTGTATGCATTTCAAATACCCACTTCTAGACACTTGAGAGAGAGAGAGAGAGAGAGAGAGAGAGAGAGACAGCGATTGACAGAGGCTCTAGATGACCTCAGTACCCTGGGAGTATTAGCTACTATAAAATGGAGTGATTAGAACCAAAGCGAGAGCTGTGATTGATAGTGACAGAAGGCTTAATTAGGGCTCAATCACACCAAGTTTGTCTGCCATGGTCCGTTAATCTATCTAGCCTTGAAGTAACAGCCCCAATGAACCACACCTAGGTGCACAGATAGCTCCACATAGTATGGCGGCGTCCCAGCACTGAAATACTCTCACTAATCAAAATGTCAACTTGTGAACGCATAACTTATCTCCTTGACACATATGGTCGCACTCTACTCTGGGAAAACCTACATTACTGAGCCCTATAATCCCTCTTCTGTCACCCAGGCCTTCTCCCAGTCCTCTCAACTTGCATCCCCCTCGCTGCATGTGTGTGTGTGTGTGTGTGTGTGTGTGTGTGTGTGTGTGTGTGTGTGTGTCCATAGGTTGCCCCCTTTTAACATTTAACACTGAAGTGCCTGTAATACTATATGTTTCCCCCTTTCAAGAGCTCTTCTGTGGCTCAGTGGAATATATTTTGCTGTAGCCTTTTTGAAATGCTCTCAGTTGAATTTTCAGGCAGCACAGAGTTTTAAAGATGGGAACTGATTTACTCATTTATTTCATGCACAGGGATCTCCTATGATCCTCCTGATTGCACAATTACTGTTATCTATAGTGCCTCCCTTTTCTACCTCTGCCAGTGTTTGTATTTTCTAGTGTACCTGTGTCCTTCGATTCTGTGATTGGTGTGTGTGTGTGTAGGGGGTGTTGCGCTCGCCCTCCAGTGCATAATCATAAATATTTGATACTTTAATTTCAACTGCTCTTTGTCTTAAAACAGTAGTTGGCTAAAATGTACAAAACTGCAAACATATTAGACGTTGTCTTTGACAGCCCAGCATTGGCCGTATCTAATTTTTGTCAAATTGGAACAAACAGATATTAAATCTGGCTCAGTTTTCTCAGTACAGACTGAAACAAGCCTTCTTTCTTGGACAGAATTAGAAAAGGGGTTTGCTGCTGAAAGTTACAACTGCCAATTATCTTTATATGTGTAGTTCCCATAACCCATACCTCTAATCAAGTCTGTGTCTGATTAATTAGTAAGTGAATGTATGTACTGCTCTTACAGAGGGACGGATAAGAAGGAATATTTGAACGATACTGTTCTGATTACAACAACACCATTTATATTTTCTGGCAGTGAGTCAGAGGCTTCTGTTTTGAGGAAATGCCAGATGACTAAACAATTAAATACAGATCTCTTGCAGGCTGATGACAAGATTTTTGCCAGTCTGGTTTTTGCCTATAACATGAACATGATATCGAGACCTGAAATGGATGGAATTTGTTTATGTTAGCAGTAGTAGACTTTGTGTAAATCTTATTATAGCCTGGTTAAATTTGAAAAACAAGCTAGTTTTTCTGTCTCTGGTATTCATCAAAACCCTCCCATCTTCTCTCTTTTTTGCTGTCAAATAGACTTTTTACATTTTGAGAATTCTCAGATGAATGAATTTTCTGGCTTAATGTAGTACAGCAATTACTGTGTTTCAGCATTACAGCGCAATATACCATTCTTCTCAGAGTTGATAGCATGGTCATAAGAGCCTTTAAACACACAAATGACTCCCATCACAGCTCCACTCTTATTTGTTAGACAAGAAACCAAACACAACAGAGTCTCCATCGCTCCACAATAGAAAGCCTCAGTGGGAGCTTTCCTCAGAGTCCACGATTATCATACAAATGCACCATTTGTCCTTAGAACAATATCTTATCGGCTGTCGCTTCCACATCTTCTCCCCCTCGATCTCTGTATCAGTCTACTCTCTGCGATCCTTTCTCCCCATGCTCCTACTCCCACTCCCTCACCCTTTATTCTTCCAGTCAAGCCTTAATGTAGTAAGGCCAATGTAGAGCATGATCCATCAATATTGTCAATATTCATACTAGTTTCACTATGCTTTGACTTCACTATAAAGGTGGAGTCCTTTAGTTAGCCTTTCAGAACTCTTGTAAGTGTCAGTCATATTATTTATTTTATATATATATATATTTAAGACAGTTTAGAAAGCTGATAGCTATCTCTGTCAAGAATTGTAGAATCATGAATGTATTATGCATTATGTCAGCAGAGCCAGAGCTGGCATAAAGGAAGGATATTAGCAATATAAATGGCTGGTATGATGAGAAGAGTCACTCTGTGAAAAGGTGATTTTATCAGATTTGATGCCAGGTGGGAGAGACAAGGAGCATGCAGACCTCATAACTTCTTTTATGACTCATGCACATGTCCTCACAGCCACATGATGCTGCCGGTAAACAACGAGAGTAAAGTTAACTGAAAAACACCCAGTTCCTAATGGAAATTAATTGGAGGGTTCTGCATAGTCAATGGGGCTAGGGAGTGGTATAGGCTAATAAAACAAAAGCAACAGGCCTGACAAATGGTCCTTTCTATTAAAAAAAAAAGTTTATAAAAACAAACATCCTAATTAATATTGGCGAAGAAGAAAGGTTTCAAGTAGGTCCATTTGAAAACAAATGCGACAGCATGGTGGGAGGATGGAGGGCTCATACACAGTCTGAGTATGATCTTGCTACAAAGAATATTGTGCATATGATGCCCGGAGGACATTAGCCGCTGCTCTCTTTGTGAGAAGGTTGTAAGTACAGAGAAGACATTACCTGAAGGCAAAGTGAGATACACCTCTGTTTGGTTACACAATCAGAGTTTATTAAATTTGATTCTTTGTACTCCAGCAGCCCCTGGATTCTGTGGCTGTATACTGTATAGTAAGTGATACAGACACATATTGGATATATGTTAAAGCTGTATCCTTTTTCATTGTTATCACTGATGAGCAATAGCCCGAGGCTGAGAGAACAGAGTCGGTGCAGGGTGTGTCCCTGGTCATTGTCCAGACTCTTGGTTCTTTTATTTCTAGATTTCTTTTGCTGCCACTGGGCTTTAATAGGCTAGATATTGAATTCCCTAACCAGCTTTTCCGTTAGACGAGCACTGTCAACACTTAAGAGCCATCCTGCTGTGGATACTAACACAGCCATGGGGCTGACTAGCATGTGTCTGAGCACTTCTGGGCTCTAGCGGTGTTCGATGTTGCTGGAGGGCCCCGTGGCATCAGAGTAGGGGCAGGGAGCTACTGTGCCACACTGTTGTGGGGGATCGCAAAACACAGTTGTCCACTGATCGCAGCTCCCTTATTCCCAAATTGTGTTAGCTTTATACACCACAGGCCTTTCAAATCCAAGCAACCCCAGAGACACCAG